ACACGGATTATGTTTTTGGTCTTAATATAGCTAGTCGAAAGTCTCCCTGAATGGAAGGTACTAGGTAAGCATGCTAGAACGATCTCATAAGCTTCTAACCTTCCAAATTTGAAGTGTCTTACCAAAGCTATCACAAATATCCATCTGGAAGACACGGCAAACGAGAATATCGATACGGCAGGCTGTCAATATGGATTCCGAGATGTGCTTGTTCCATGTGTCAAGTATTTCTTAACAAATGCCGGATATTGAATGGGCCTCAGGTTTATGACGCATGAGACGAAGGACTTGGACAACTTGTCGACTCTCCATGTCTTCAACAAAACCTATACCTAGGTTACAACCACTTTATAGGTCGGAGAAGGTGTAGCTTATTAGTGTTATTACCCTGAGAATATTAAACGAATTACACATATGTACATACACGTAGGTAAATAATATTATCGCCCAAACTCTGGACTTAATCCGAACTCTCCTGGTACACCACAGTACTTAACTGATCCAGTCTCTTCGCCTCGACCATAGCCATATTCGTGGAATAGTCGCTCGGCATGCCATACCATGGGAATAATCAATGACTCCCGGCAGTCGCACCGTTTCGCCATCAACTTTGTTGGCAGTGACAATGATCTCAGCACAGGAATATGGCTGTTGAACATTCAGCGACTGTGGGGTAGAGGATTGGGCCTTGATTGGATCGTTCCGCAAGGCGTCAATATATGATCGAGTCAATGGATTCGTGGCATCTGGGGGAGCCAGCTGCATGCTTCCGAAGTGTACAACGTGCTTGGTGATGGAGATAAGGATGACAATCCGTACTTGGCCGCTCGAAGAACCAGACCACCATCTAGCGTCTTGAACGAGCTTTGGTAGTGATTCTGAAACACCGGTTTCAATAACCCCGGTGGGCCAGCTTAATCCATTGCTGGATGGCCAACGTCCAGCAGGGCTAAAATCTTGATCGCCCTCCTCGAACTATCCAAGGAAATTTGATATCCAGCTCGAATTGTACGTGAACTGAGCTGATTGATCCAGTTGAAGCGATAGGCGAGGCAGACGTACCAGAGCCCTGGAGGTATAGGTAGGGAGTTGGCTTGGGCTTTGTCATACATTCTCGCTTCATCTTGCAAAGGCCTCATTTTCTGGGGAACCCTTTGCAGCCGTGCTGTAGTCAGCGATAATCTGGGCGAATATCTTTGGCGGGAAGTTTTTCAAACGATGAAGCGATCCTCGACCGAGTACAGAGTTTAGAGACTCTCCATGGCGCACTGTTTATCGTAGCATAGACGGGCGTATCCGAGGGAAGGTGCTTGAGAAACGGATTTGCACCTTCCTCCGCAACAGCAAGGAAATATTGCCTCAATGCCACAGCTGGTGTAGCCGAGAGGTCGCCCAGGCCCATCTTGACATAGGATGTAGACGCTTGAATGACTGGAGAGTAATCGACGACCCATGTGCCTTCAATGAGCACCTGTCGAAGGAATATCGTCTCAAGAGTAGTTGCTCATCAAGCCCCGCATGACCATTAGGTACAGCGAGAAGAAATTGTGGTTCTGCGGCCCGTCTTTGACAGTTATTTCCTCTTCTAGTCTCTCGAAAGTCGGATGCTGAAGTTGATAGGCGTTTGGTGGGGCGGAGCGGTAAAATCGCTGGGGGGCTTCGACTCTATACGAGTTAGAGTGAACCTTGGAACACACATAATCGGACTTACTCAAGTGAGCCGGAAAGGAGACCATTTCAGTCTTGCGGGGGAAAGTTCGTTCTCGGTAGGCATACACAGAGTAAGGTGAAAGATATAGGGAATTTCCTCGATATCTAGATCCGTCATGACCCTTGACTGACTCTTCTCCAGTTGTTTTTTTTCTTCATGTATGAGGTCTGTCCTTCGAGCCTTTTGACAGAGTAAGGATTAGCTCCGTCTTTTTAAGTGGAGTAGATGATTTGGTCGGCATGCTTGCGAAGTTCTTGATGTTCCGCAGTAAAATACGGCTAATAGCTGCGATAAGAAAATTGTTTGTGTACGGACGAGCGGTACTGTTCAGATGAAGAGTGAGAATCGTCATGGGTTGTGAGAAAAGAAGGAGAGAAAGAAAATGTATACATATATACCCAGACGGGTTGTGCGTCGTAGGCGTGACCTTGGTGAGGCCCCACAGCCGATCAAGGCCCGTGACGTGTAACACCTCTCATCCCAACTACTCCGCGCGCCTCACGATACATCTAAGGCTGCCCAGGCAGGTGATTAAGACTGATTAGCCGCCCTGATTGATTACACCTTCCACAATAAAATATATATACCTATATATTGATTCATCTCACTTGCAATCACTACTGTTCCCTCTGATCCTACTGTTCCCACCCTTCTCTTCACCCAACATATTCAGCATGAAGACCACGCGCCAGTGATCTACACGGCATGGAGAAAACACGGATTGCTAAGGTCCGCAGAACCTATCTTGGGCGCCACAAACATCCCACTCGCTGACTATGTCACTCCAGGTTGATAATGTGACCTTAGCTCGCCGCGGAGAGCAGGTCGATGGCACCCTTCATCTAACCCCTCATCACCTCATCTTTTCGCACACCCCACCAATATCCCCGGAAGACCAGATAAAGGGCGTGATAACAAGGCCTAGAGAGCTGTGGATCACATACCCTATCATCGCTTTCTGCACCCTGCGACCAGCCCCCGCCGCCTCCCGCCAGCTCTCCTCCATTCGCCTCCGATGCCGAGACTTCACATTCGTCTGTTTCTACTTTGTAAATGAGAACAAAGCACGGGATGTGTTTGAAAGTATCAAGCAGTGGACGTGCAAATCCAGTCGTATCGATAAGCTTTACGCCTTTAGCTATCAGCCTCCCCCACCAGAAAAGGAGTTTAACGGGTGGGAGCTGTATGACCCGCGCAAGGAATGGGCGCGACAGGGCTGCTTGGACGAAGGAAAAGCATGGCGTCTTTCCGAGATCAATGTGAACTATGAGGTATGCTCGCCCAAACTAGTCCAAATGTGCTCTACTAACATATCTTAGTTCTCCCCGACCTATCCCGCCATTATCCCCGTACCTTGTTCTATCTCCGACAATACACTTAATTACGCAGGGCGCTATCGATCTCGAGCAAGGATTCCTGCCCTCACATACTTTCACCCCGTCAATAATTGCACCATCACCAGAAGCTCACAGCCGCTGGTCGGTGTCCGCCAGAACCGAAGCATTCAAGATGAAAAGCTTATGTCCGCCATTTTCCTAACTTCTCGCCCCGAGCGGCCGTTGGCGAGTTTCTCAGCCACAGAGAAAGAAACAGATTCTAGCAGTCCAGAGACGAGCCAGGTGATGGTCCCCGAGTTGAACAATGCCGAGGAAATTGAGGATGATTTGTTAGCTGCTACAAGTAGTGATCTTGAGGATCATCGCTCCATATATGGCGCCCAGCAGTCGAACCTAATCGTGGACGCACGCCCTACAGTGAATGCATTTGCCATGCAGGCTGTTGGACTTGGATCAGAGAACATGGACAACTACAAATTCGCTAGCAAGGCATACCTTGGTATTGACAATATCCATGTCATGCGAGATTCGCTGAATAAGGTGATCGATGCTTTGAAAGAGTCAGATGTTACTCCATTAGGGCCAAATCGTGACCAGCTAGCGCGCAGTGGCTGGTTGAAGCACATCGGCGGGATATTGGAGGGAGCCAAACTGATCACTCGCCAAGTTGGTCTTACTCATTCTCATGTTTTGATCCACTGTTCTGATGGCTGGGACCGCACGAGCCAGCTCAGTGCGCTGAGCCAGATTTGTTTGGATCCCTACTTTCGGACCCTGGAGGGCTTCATGGTGCTGGTAGAGAAAGACTGGCTTTCATTTGGACACATGTTTCGACACCGTTCTGGTCATTTGAACAGCGAGAAATGGTTCCAGATTGAAAATGAACGCATCGGCGGAGACCCCAACCGTGCCTTTGGTGACGGTGGGGGTGCAGGGAAGGCTATTGAAAATGCATTCCTTAGTGCCAAAGGATTCTTTGGCCGGGACAACAATAGCCGCGACTCGTTGCCGGAGTCGGATGGAGAGCTTCAAAACTATGACTCTGACACTCCTGTGAAGAAGCCTGCTACACCGCGCTCGGGGGTGTCCGAGAAGGAGATAACCAAACCAAAAGAGACGAGCCCTGTTTTCCATCAGTTCTTGGACGCAACATATCAGCTGCTTCATCAACATCCGACGCGATTTGAGTTTAACGAGCGTTTCCTGCGACGACTTCTCTATCATCTCTACTCCTGTCAATATGGCACATTCTTGTTCAACAACGAGAAAGAACGCGTGGATTGCAAGGCCAGTGAACGAACCCGTAGCGTTTGGGATTACTTCCTTGCTCGCCGGGAACAATTCACAAACAATCAGTATGACCCAGTCATTGATGACAATCAGCGCGGCAAGGAACGACTCATCTTCCCCCGTGTCAATGAAACACGGTGGTGGAATGAGGTGTTCGGTCGAACAGATGCGGAAATGAACGGGCCCCGTTCCTCAGCGGCACCCAGTGACATCCCGGAAGGTACGGTGTTGACTGGCATTGAGACTGCAGGGCCAGCCAATGCTGGTAAAATGACTGACGTATCGGGAATGGCAGCTGCTGTGACATCAGGCGTATCTAAGCTTGCGTTCCCAGCGGAGCGCACCGACAGACAGACCAAGTTAGAAGTGGAGATGCAGTGAACCTGGGGTGCTCAAAGGAATCGGGTGATATTTCGAGCATTTACAACTTTATTTTATGCATCCATGTTGAGACGACCATAAAGTGATTCGTCCAATGACGTTGGAGTAGTTAGATGTAATATTAGTCACTGCGTTGTTGCCTTAGTGGTGCCTCAAATATAAGGTGACTACGCTAGGACAAAACAGGGAAGGCGCCGGCAAGCGAGGGTTGAGCCCTGGCCCAAACGGGAAAACAGCCCTAGTCCCGAAAAATCCCCACTAAATAATACACTCTCAGAATTGAAGTCTCTCGACCACGATCCCCTCCGTCGACAACCCCCGATTCCACCACCACCAGGAACGTCAAAATGGCCGCTGTTCAGGGAGCTATTTCTAAGCGCAGAAAGTTCGTCGCCGACGGTGTCTTCTATGCCGAGCTGAACGAGTTCTTCCAGCGCGAGCTGGCCGAGGAGGGCTACTCCGGTGTGGAAGTCCGTGTGACTCCCACTGTCACCGACATCAGTACGTCAAACCCGAAAAACCAATCTATCGTGTGATCGCTTGAAAATTGCCGGTGAAATTGCCTGGAAAAGAGGAGGAAGAGGACGATTTACGATCGCGATGGGATCTGCGGAATTCGAATGGGGATTTGATGCTAACGGGCTTTCCAGTTGTCCGTGCCACCCACACTCAGGAGGTTCTCGGTGAGCAGGGTCGCCGCATCCGCGAGCTCACCTCCCTCATCCAGAAGCGCTTCAAGTTCCCCGAGAACTCCGTCTCCCTCTACGCCGCCAAGGTCCAGAACCGCGGTCTCTCCGCTGTCGCTCAGTGCGAGTCCCTCCGCTACAAGCTCCTTAACGGTCTTGCCGTTCGTCGTGCCTGCTATGGTGTCCTCCGTTTCATCATGGAGTCTGGTGCCAAGGGTTGCGAGGTTGTTGTGTCCGGAAAGCTCCGTGCCGCCCGTGCCAAGTCCATGAAGTTCACTGTACGTCGAGGACCTTCCATCGGACCAATCGATCGCAAAAAAGCAGTTTGGAGGAATGTTATGGCTAACGCAAGTAACAGGACGGTTTCATGATCCACTCCGGTCAGCCCGCCAAGGAGTTCATCGACTCCGCCACTCGTCACGTTCTCCTGCGCCAGGGTGTCCTCGGTATCAAGGTTAAGATCATGCGCGGCTCCGACCCCGAGGGCAAGGCCGGCCCCCAGAAGACTCTCCCCGACTCGGTTACCATCATCGAGCCCAAGGAGGAGCAGCCCGTTCTCCAGCCTATGAGCCAGGACTACGGTGCCAAGGCTATCGCCGCTCAGCAGGCCGCCGAGCAGCAGCGTCTTGCCGAGCAGCAGGCCGCAGAGGCAGAGGGTGGTGCGGAGACTTTCGCTCAGGAGTAAATGTTTTTATCTACATTAGGCCCGGCTCTTCCTTTTTCTTCCATCTGTCCTAACCTAACCTGATACTCTACCTCACGCAATCAAAATTACATGACCTTCAAAGCCATTTATTCGCAATTCTATAATTTGTATTGGCCAATACAGTGGAGGTCCGTTGGAATGTGTTCAAGGTCTGGTACATATTGGCAAGAAAAGCCTTTTCTTGCCATTGAATATCAGACATCATATACTGGAAGAATGCCTCGATATCTGTTCTCCGTTCGTACCAAGCGCCTGCGTCCTAGTTTGTGTACTAAGAAGAGATATCAATATCATATCCGCGTTCCAATCGTTAACATTGCATGTGGGGTTGTGACTGGGAATTTTGAACTAGAGCATACATATATCAAGCCTATGATAGGATCTTTGGTAGAACTAGCCAATCTAAAGCTTTTGACCACCTTCATATCTTCGATGGCAATTTGATAATATCTGTTTGTCTTTTATTATAAACACATAAGCAGGAAGCGCGAAGGTGAATGAAACGAAAACAGTTGGAAACCCTATGCATCTCGCTCTATATATTTCTAATCTTAGGCGAGGGTTCGTATAGAACTGAAGATTAGGAAGAATTCAATGCACCGTTCAGTGTAGCTATTGTTATTTCACAACAAAATATCATCCAAGAAATTCCATACATTATGCATATGCAAAAGCAAGATGGAGTACATGTCCTAAACAGGTTCAATGATGAAACAGATCGAATCAGATTATCCAAAATTCAAGAAATGTAAAGAAAAGGAATGACTACTGTCAACGCTCACGATATGAGGCAGCGACAAGGCGACTAAACAGCAGCTCGGGATGCTCCAAAACCTCCGAGTGCCGACGATGCAGCTCCTCGAGCTGAGCCAGGGGATTCTGTAGACCGCCACAATAAGTACGTTGCGTTGAGGAGAGAAGAGAATACATCAACCGTGACACCCACCCATTCCTCCTGGCTAGGCACGCCCTCCGCAGCAGGCAGGGCGGCTGTACCGGAGGCCTCATCCCCGTAGCTAGTGCGGTGGATTGGTGCCGGTGTTACCGGCAGACTGGGGCGCTCGACTTCTGTTGGGAAGTCGGTAATCTTGGTGCTAGGCCGGAATCCTGGGGTGGGGGGTGATTTCCCCGGGCTATTGGAGTGGACCCCCGGACTGGTCGCTTGTGATTTTGTGCGCCGTGCTTGGATCTTTTCAATATAGCGCTGGATTTCTGGATCCTCATCCCAGGCGTTGGAGCGGCTGTATGCTTGCCATGATTCGGCACTGGGTTCGAACGGTACCCGAGTGTAGGAAGGTGAGGGTCCAGGAGAGGCTGGCTCGCTTGGAACTGAATGTCGCTTCGGTTCCTCGGGTACCACGGGAGCTTCCACCAACTCCACAGGTGCTTCTTCGGCGAAGATGCGGGTTGGTTTCGGAGCATGGCGCTCCCAGGGGAACACCGTGGCAGGTTTAGGCTCCGGTTTGGCTGGAACCTCATACCACATATTTTTCGGTGCCTCAGGGTAGGACGACGGGGGTTGGAATAGATGCGTGTCTTCGGACATATTGTAGGTTCTCTGTTCTAAACTGAAACCTTCGGGTTTCGTGTTGACCGGAGGTGGCTCACTATGGGATATTAGCACTGTTGACGATGTTGAGGGATAACTCTCACCGTGAGGGATCCCACTCGGACTTTGGCGCCTCAAAGGTCGAAACCTCTGGGACTGGAGAGGGGGGTGATTGGTATTCGATAATTGGAGGAGGGATCGGCACCAGGGGCTGTGGTTGGTGAATATGGCCATCGGGGTAGTGTATCTGTGCCTGTATCTGTGTCGGCAACGGTGTCTGGATTTTGGTCTGCGTCGGGGTCTGCGTCTGTGCCTGCGTTTGTATCTGCGTCTCATGTGCTTCGTGGCTAACTTGAGGCGCAAAAGTGATTGGCACAGGAGGCAATGGCGAGATAAATGTTGAGACATGCTCCTCTCCGCGAACATACTGCGGTACCATGCTCAATACAGGCAGAGCAGCATGGCGTACAATAGCAGGAGCAGAATGGTCGTGATGCGGTTCTGAATGGCCGTGCTCGACTGGCGGTGCTTGGTGTGATTCTTCGTGAAAGCTCGCGGTTTCTTCAATATGGTCGGGCTGCCGTTCAGACGTCGGCTGTGTTTCATGAGGAATGGTGCTGTCATAACGAGGGGTATCGTCATGACGAGGGGCATGCACTTGGTCGCCTTGGGCCAACGCCGTCTTTTCAATCTCAACGGGCGCGCTCGGTACCTAGAAATGTCAGTCCACATCTTCAGAATCTTGCATATCTCTTACAAATGGGGGACGATAGTGTCTGTCATAGACAGCCCACCACCGGCCTAGAAGCTGATTGTACGGGGACTCCAGCGGAACAATCTGTCTCGGCATATTCCACGGTTTCCGAGCACCAATGAAATGAATAAGACTGATGGTACTCTGGAAATGCTTGTACGCAGGGATGTACTGGTAATTGGCACTTGGCGTGCAGTTATACGTGAAGCTTAGCCTATGCCAGTCCCGGAAATGCATGTTCAGCAGACCCTGGTCGGCGCCATCGAAGCTGATACCTCTTTGGGCGAGTGCTCTTAGCGCATAATAGTCGTGCAGATTAGGTCGAAGAACCATCATTCCACTATTAAAGCAATCCGGCCAACCAACATCAGGCGCGGCAGCAAAGTCTGCTTCCAGTGACAACAGCTCGTCGGGGGCTCGGAGAGCTACAACATCACAATCAATGTATACGACCCGCTGGTATTGCGTCAGGCGCCAGAGCTCAATCTTGGTGAATGTGGCAATCAGGTCTGGACGGTCCATGAGCCAGAGGTTCGCGGGTGTCTCGTTTACCATTGAGCTCACTGGGATCAACTCGTCGTAGGCGGTCTAATATGTAAGAAAAGGTATAGTTTGGGGAATGCTGTACGTACCATTAGCTCGTCGATGGTGCTTGATTGTAGTCTGTCTGGCGTAAATAGCGCCACCAACCTCGCTCTTGTACCATTGTCGCGTAGGGAATGGGCAAGGACCATAGCACCTATAAATATTTAGAATAGTTTCACATTCCATATAAATTAGAGCCTACCAGGAAGATAATTGTCACTCAGTAGAAGCTGTCTCATCGTCAGTTTACGCCATAAGCATGGGAAAGGGGGGTAAAATACCGTGCAGTAGACTGCTCCTCCATTGGAATCCATCACGCCACACTTCCAACAGCAAAAGAATGGTCAGACGCCCGACAAATTCTGGGACAGAGAAGAAAAGCTCTCGAAAGAAGAACAGCGGGCTATATTTAACCTGTCAATTGCCAATGACAGTTCAGACCGGTAGGAGCGCGATACACCGACTGTGGTACCTGGACCGGACACGGATTCGAGGGGGGACGAAAACAGGAGATATTTATTTTTTCACTGCATGTTGTGTAAGGTTGAACTCTGAGAATTGAGGACAAGTGAGATTCTTAAAAGGCAATGAAAAGCAAAGGCCGAGATGTACGGAGTAGGCAAATTAAGGTCAAAGCTCCCGAGGGGGAAGTGGAGTTGTCTTCCCCCCACCCGGGCAAATCATTACGTTCCGCGATAATCTTTTTCGATATATTTTCTCGTCTTCTCTTCAACACTTACTGTATTCTATATCCTATATCATATGTTCTCTGTTGAAATATCTACAAAATATGTATCGAATCAACCCTCTCTAAATGGTCTAACATGGCCCAGGTGAAACATCACCTTCTCCCTAACCGCTTTAGATCAGGTTGCCCCCCCGCGGTACGAAAACGTTGAATATCAAAGTTGTCCAACATATTGCTTATGTTTATCGTGAAAAGGTGACCTGGACACCAGGGTACGATCCGGCGATGGCCGTCCCAATATCCCCCTCTTCGCCTTGAGCAGCCCATTCAACAGCCTTGGTCAAAGCTGCGCCGCTCTCACGTTCAATCGGAGTCCAATGTCCAGTACGGGGAAGCAGTATGATCTGGGACCCCTGTACCAAGTAATCACTCATCCCATCAATGCAGATCCTCTGGTCAAGAGCAATATCGTCCTTGCCCCAGAAAATGGTCGTGCTAGCTTTGAGAGTGCCAGGGGGACCTTCATCAAATAGTCCACCACCGGTACTCGCCAGTCGTTTTCCGGATGAAATGCTGTGAAGGCTAGCAACCGTCTCAGCGGACTTAACCCAGCGCGCCACTGCCGCCCGATCACGGTAATAAGCCGCCATGTGCATGAGATGTGCGAATGCGCGCTCGCTGAGGCTGGCGGGATAGGCATCACCGCTGGGAGTTTTAGTATCCGATTCTGCAGCGGACGGGCCCATGGTGCTAGCCATGCTGTTTGCTATATCGAAGGGGCTATACTCGTCCTTGTTGTACGAGGCGAGATGGCACCCTTTCAACAGTGAGTGGTTGCCTCCGGATAGGAAATAGCAGACAATTGGCGTTGGTAGCTGCATGGCAAAGATATAGCCGGATAGAACAAGCTGGCGGGCGAGAGGGATGAGGGTTCGGAGTGCTTGCATCAGCGGGGCGCGGGCGTGCAGTGGTGAACGCCAGGCGTTACCGAGCATTTTATTAGCCGAGAAGAGCAGACGGCGAATGTTGGATTCAACCAATTTCATCTAAATCATTAGTCGAGATAGGATATTTCCCGGTGTTCTGACATACTGATGGTCCGTTGGACAGGATGAACCGATGCGCCAGGGACGGAGCTTCGGCAGCGAGACGCATGGACAAGAGGCAACCCCAATCATGGGCGACAATTATGGTCCTCTTCTTGTTGCTTTCGTTGCCCGAGTCCACGCCATACTGGATCCGCAGGGTGACGATCAGCTCTGTCAATTTCTCCAAGACATTTGTTGCACCATATTCTTCCAGGCTCTGTGTTCCTCCATATCCGGGAAGGTCAATGGCAACGAGCGAAACGGCCTCTTGCAGAGCAGGGTTTTTAATAATGTGCCGCCAGATCGCCCAGCTATCGGGGAATCCATGGATGAAGACGACCAATGGTTTATCGGACTTGATGGTTTCCGGTGTGTTCGGGATATCGTTACTGACAAAGTGAAACTTGAATCCGCTCTGCAAGGTTATGATGTGGTGAGAGAGACCTTCAAAATCTTTGGATAAATCCCATAGGCGAGCGCGAGCTAGAGAGTCAGCAAAGAACTTTCACGATGGTGAATACATAGCTCACCAAGCTGTAGGTCTCGTTTCTCATTTTCAGTGGGGCGTTTGAAGTATTTGCCTCTCGCCAAGGCAATTAGGCCGTAAGAAACAACTATCAGGAAGCCGTAGGCAAAGACGGCCGCGCCGATCAAGGCACGGGACAGGGATTTGCCCATATTGGAATCATGCACATGTGCGTTGAAGGAGATGGAGTCGGCTTGTAATAAATCTAGAGCTGGGGCAAACGGAGCTCGGCCGGGTCCACCGGTAGCGTCACACCTGAGTCAGCGATCTAAGACACCTCCAGGGCTGGGCACCTCCGAGGTTCCTTCCTACATATATGTACATATGTAGGTAACCTACTCTAGCATATCAAACGGGAATACATTGGTAGGTATGGTAGCACCTTTTTACGCTACTATACGAGGTAATTTTATCTTAAAAAGTCCTTAACCTGAGGTCGCGGGTAGAATCTGCTTATCGCTGAAAAATCGAGGGCGGGTTGACAGCGGGTACCTACATGAGATATGCGAGCACGGAGTATCTATAATTTAGATAAGTTGAATGAATCAACACTGGAAGATACAAATTCAGGAATGCAATCATATTATACTGTAAATTGTAGGTAGTTTACAGCTTTTCTCAATGGCAGACCGAACGCCTCCACATGCACAAATATTATTGGTAGAAAACAGTCCGAGGGAAACAGGGTATTAACAGGAGCCTAAAAACAAAAATGCCATCATATCGTCGAAAGAATATATACAGATCAAAGAACGAATCCTAGTTGTTCGCGGTTGTCGTCTACCAAGCGACCATACCTGAAAAGTGAGCAGGTTAGCAGAATTCCCTTAGAGAATGAGGATGTACTTACTCAAGTAGTAACCGGAAGAACCAAACCTCCAGATCCTCATTTCGTAGGGTCTGCTGTGCCCAGCGCTGACCCTGGTTGGCGATTTGAAGAGCGGCCTTTTTGCCCTCTTCTTCTGAGGTAAAGTATCGCATGCTCTCAACGTACTCATTGCCTTTCAAGCTGAGAGGGACGTAATGTACCCAAGGCTTCAGCCACTCGTCGTGCCATTCGCGGAAAATAGCGATCTTGTAGACAAAGCTGTTGCTATGCAGGAAAGCGTGGAATCGCCCGCTAAAAGCGTTGCCGTCAATGTCGACTAGGAACTTGTGCGCCCACGCATCTTGTTGCCCAGCCTGCTTGAACACTCCAAAGTATTCGGTCTGCGCATTGCAGTCGTCCGGGTCGCACTGGCCGATGAGTGTGAACTTGACATCGAAGGAACCGCCGTAGGCATCACGGTTGGTTACCTGTGAAACCCAGCTGTCCCCCTGGCGAGCGAGAACTTTGGTGGTGCCTAAGCCGTTGACGTTGTCGACAAATTGCTGCCGATGTTGTCGGCGCCAGCCACCCGCGCGCGAAAACCCACCGGTTGTGGAGCCACGCCAGTACATTCGGTCGGACTTGGCCTCCCACGCATAGTCTTTTGCAGGATTGTATGGGACCTTGTCGGCCCAGTACCAGGGGCTCGGGTAAATAATGTCCTGGAAGCTGGAGATCTTGCTCTGCGAAAAGACGGGGAACAGATCGTGGACCACATCAAAGGCGTTGGGCCGATCAAAGAATCCGTATGTATGGCGGAGAGAGGGGGTATTGCAAATGTCAGAGGCCGCCGTGGTATTATAGATGAAGCCGAGCTCGCCATAAGCATAAGGATCAACGTCGTCGGAGGGGTTTTCGTCGAGTGAGCGCGCTGGGCTGTCAACCGGACAAGATACTCGGGAGTTTGTCCAGGTCGGTTGGTGTGCGAAGCGGTTGAAACGAGTGGTGCGCACCTCGTCGATGCGGTCACCTTTGTTTAGGTCTGAAGCACGTGGGGACCACGCGTTGGTCGGGGTCTTTTTGAACGCTGCTGGAATATTGAAATCCTTGGCTTTTTGCACCAAACGCTGGAGGTCTTCGCTAGGGAGAATCACGCGCGGCTCGTCATGAGTGTTGAACACCAGGTCCATGTCGGGCAGGTATTTCACAAAGGCATCCATCATACCGGCCGTAGCGTCTCGCTGCCACTTGCGGTCGTCGCCTCCTCCATCCGTCAAGGACACCTTACCGTCGCGAATTAGAACACCGAGCACCGCATTGTCAAATCCAAGTGTCTCGCGCGCCCGGTCGCGAATCGTCTTAGGTTCCACACCCCAGAAGGGGAGGAGGGCGTGGTAGATGGAGTCGAAATCATCGACGAGCTGTACATTTCTTGACTGGGCAAACTCGAACCACTTGTCGAAAAATGGCGGCGGGTGCATATTATAGCGGCGCTTGTATTCACTCACGGCCTCGGCCAGGGTTTTTGATTGCCGTGACTGCGCATGATTGAAATCCTTTTGAGCATTTCCAATCAGACGCGTGATCGGGTGCTCTTTCTCGGGGAGGTATGTGTTTTGCCCCGCATGGAGCTGAGGGTGTTGTATCGGTTCGGGAGGAGGCAAATCTATGGGTTGTTGCTGCTCTGGGGGCTTCGAAGATCGTAGTAGTAAGAGAGAAAGACAGGCAAGAACGCCGATCGCAAGTAATACAATCAGCCGTTGGATGCGCATGCTGCCATTGGGGAGAGGCATGAAGAAGGAGAGCGAGACAAAGTCTTAAGGAGGGTTTTCCATAGGTCTAGAATTGACCTCGGGCTATTCACCTCCAGGGCTGATCCGCCAAGCCTTTCTAACGTAATCGTCAAAATCTGCGTATGTACTGGTACAAAGGTCTAAAAGACAAAGACTATCAATAATATTATAATATGATCTTTTTATTTGTGTGGCCCCCAAATCTCGAAGGGGTTAATGTACTAGTATGTGGCGTTGCCCGGCTGCAGGGGAGGTACGCCATAATCTATTCATATACGTGTCACCAGAAGTACTTCGATCACGATGTACATTGTCCCACAGAAAATCAAGAGTATTTTCAATAGGTTGGGAGAAAGATCTTTTGAACCTTGAGGCAGTAGCAGCCTTGGCCTCTCTCGATATATATTCAAAAGAGTACACAGTTCATACAAACCATTCATACAATATAGATCGTATCCCTTGATCTCTCTACTTGCTTTTTGTTGCTGCTATCACTAAGGGGAGAAAAAAAGGGGCTATATTTCATACATGTAGATCAATTCACGATGTTCTCTCAGAAAACAAGATCTGACCAAGTACAAAACGAAATACTTCACAATTATTGTTCGATCGAACCTTGGAAGTAAATAAGGCATTAGGATATGCTGTTTCTCCTATGAATGGACTTCATGAACCTCGGAATGTGATTATGCTCCATAAGCTTATATATGACCTCCCTAGGGTCAATATTAAGATGCTGACCAAGGGAAACGATTTTAAAAGAACCATCGGGCGTGCTATTTCCGAACCTACACTAACGTAGCGCCCAAGAGCACACCCAATTAAGTACAGAAGCTGCTAAAGTCTGCAGAATGTACCGCTGTGCCTGCTTAACATGGAAGTAAGCCGCAACGCACAATAATATCACCAAAGACACATGACCAAAGTAAAACGTCCTTCGGCGTTCTTGAAAGGTTCCCTGCACAAGCCAAGCCTGGAGGCCTTTCTGGGAAGTAGGCCGCACAAAGAGGATGAGCAGCACCGCCAAGGATATTGCGACTAGGCCACATTGGACGTCTAAGTCTTGGACTCGCTTGAAGAGCAATATACCAAATTCAGGACGACTGGATTGCACGAAGAACAGCGTATACAGCGTGGCATGAGCCGACAGAAGAGAGACAACCGCCCGACCGAGGAGACGGTGGTACGGTGTCAACACCGGCTGAGGGATACCGGTCAGAAGAGACAGTACGGACGAGGCTGCCGGCTGAGAGAGATATGCCGGAGACATCAGAACCTGCAGTGGCAGTTGGGACAGGCCAACTCGGCCCAATGCTTTCGTTAAATGGAGATAGTCTGTCACTAGTATGTTAGCATGCCTCAAATCCACCAGGAGACAAATGCATGCCATCACCACTGTTCCATATCGAAAGCCCTAAAAGCCATAGTAGCCACAGCCCGCAGACAAGATACTGTTGGGCCTTTCCAGAGACCAGGCAATCCCACCTAGCGGTTGATCTCGTAACAAAGCGAAAAGTTCGAATGGCGACGATAACCACAACAATTGACAATTGTGCATAATACCCTCGAAGGTCAAGCAGCTCCCCGCGGTGCAGCTTGTCGTTCTCGGAGAGAGAAATAAAATGGTACGGCCACGACATGGCGACTGAAGAATAATGTAAATGATGGTTTGTAGAATCACATGTCAATTGACATGCCGGTGAGATGCAGCGTGGTTCGAAAAGGCTTTAGAATGTTGACGTTGGTCTCACAAGTTTATTTGATATACTCCAGGGCTGGCAGTGAAAAACAACTAGTCCAACCGTGGATGGATGTACACCCTGGCCGGGCCTGACCAGGCCCGGGGTCGCTTTTTGCTGACAAATGAAAAAACCGCGATTGTTCCAGCCCTGCGCACTCCGGAGGTCCAGCGCCCCAGGCGATCTTAAAGTCCCTTTTTTACTGTCCACGGGTCTCATGCGTGTACTAGTTATATCGTAGATACATTACGTAGGTGGGTTTATATGCACTGAAGGTTTTTAGTTGCGCATTTGCTTTTGTAGGTACCTATCCTGGCTACCGTCATGTAAAACCTCTACATTAAAACGCCTGAAAGAAAAGGACGCTTGGTTATTCTCTAACCTGACAGGATGCCTTGTTGTGTATTGGCTTAAGAGGTGCATAGTTTAAGGAGATGTCTGCATCTCATCCGGATTGCCACCAGCAGTTGTAGCAAAGTATCGGACATCCACATCGTCATCCTCCTGCAACTTCTCCAGGCTGGGCACAACCCTTGACTGAATCAACTCCAGGCTCTGGGGTGATGGCGCGATAGGCTCTTCGGACTTCTCCACCTCAACCAAGGTCTTATCGGCCGGCAGACGACGCAGTGTGGCGATAAGAACGGCGTAGGACTTGGCGACGTTGAAACGTATGTTGGGGATTTCATCCGTCACTAGGCGTTCCAGGATAGGGAGGAGAGAGTTCTCAATAATTTCGAGGTTGACAACAGGAGTGAGAGTCTGATAGTTAGCATTGATCGATGTAGTAAGAGAGGGAACTTACAGAAACAGCAAAGCACGTCGTCATGCGGTAAAGATAGTTAGGGTGTTGACCCATGGCCATCACCTTGGGAATGATAGAAGCTTTTGACCACTCCACACCGAATACCTCTGTCAGTTTCTTCAAGTTCTCAGTGGCAGCCTCTCGGATGGAGAAGACCGTGTCTCCGAGCCAGCCCATGCAAAGATCACTCAGCTGCTCGTCAAAGAACTCGACACCAAGTTGACTGGCAAGGAGTGGAATATATTCAATGATAGCAAGGCGAACACGCCATTGCTTATCCTCGGCCAGTTGAACAATGGCGGGAAGAAGAGACTGGGAGAGAAGCTGGATACCAATGACTGTAAAAGGTTAGAAGACATACACATAAAAGAAAATCAAGGGACGCTTACCTTTGTTGACTTGCTCGAGCTTCGAGATGATGTGCAGTCGGACGTCGGGGAATTCATCCTTAAGCATCTGGAGGAACATGGGGAGTAGGTGGGCAATAGTCCTGGACGGTCAGCATAGGTTATTGCGAGCATATAGGCAGGATAACTTACTCTTCCTTGCCCAGGATAGGCGCGAGCCCGCTGATCTGAGTACCCAGGGAAGCCCGGACGTGCTGAGAGGGGTCAGAGACAAGGTCTTCAACACTGGTCATGATCTCATTGAGGAGAGTGTCGCGATCAATCAAATGGCAGAAGCCTGAATTTGTTAGTCAGGCATCAACTATACATCATTGGAGTATCATACCAGGAATTTGGCCAGCAATTGCGGTGCGAACCTCGGCCTCTGTATCTTTGAGGAGCTTGACAAAGGCAGGCACCATGTCACGGGTGACAACCTCTTCGTGGACAGCTTTGGCAATCTGCATACATCAGTATCACCCAATATTTCGAAACCCGGCAAACACAAGATACCTTTTCATATCGATCGGCAACCATGTATCGGACTCTCCAGCTCTGATCCTCAAACAGACTCCGCAGCGATGTCAACAAGACGCCGTGGCTAGGTTGCTGTTCTTTGGGAATTTCCTCCGCAATTGCAATAAGAATGTCAACTGTAAGTAGACGAACGCTGTCCTGATCATCGCTCGCCAAGTATTGGAAGAGGGGAATTATTTCATCGATGACGACCTGGCTTTGCATTTCCTTGACAAACTTGGCAAGATTGTTGGCCGCCTGTCGCCGCACCATGGGGGTTTCATCGTGTACCAAAGCTCCAAAGTGCTGTCGGAGGCTCTGTTGCAATGCGGTAGCCTTCTTGTATGGTGTGGAGTAAAGACCAGTCGCAGAGACCTTCGAGGTGAACCAGTCTGCCTTTGACAAGCGAAGGACTAGCGGGACAAAATACTCCTCGACTTGGCTCTCCGTAAGCTGCTCGCATACTTTGTTGAGAGATTCAACGGCCTGAAACGTCAGCATGCGCCTCAGAAACTTTCAGCTGGTGTGGTACCTTCTCCCGCACCAACGGCTCCTCGATAGCCGCCAAATTCTCCAGCGGGGAGAGCAACACGTGCCCGTGTTCCGGGCCCCCAACATATTCTGTAAAATTGCCCAGTTCTTCACTCAGCGCAGTCAGAACTTCGTCCTCATCCTCGACGGAATCTATCACTGTTAGACGGGGTTGCTAGTCGATTGAAGGCTGGACAAACCATCAAGGAATGGGATGAGCTCTTCCCGGGTTCGGTCGGGTCCAAGTGCAAGCGCGATCGTGGATAGACGGTGAATGGCATTGAGTCTGAGAAGGACATCGTCGTGCTAAAGAAATGTGAGCTCAATATTGTCTGCACGAGCAGCGGGAGACCTACCTTCAACTCGTCAATGAGCACGGCGATGGGGTAGAGCTCATCGTTCTCGTTCTGGCCCTCCATTGTGGATTTAGGTATGTATTAGGGAGACGCGAGGAGTCCCGGTCCTGAAAGGGAAGAGGGTGGTGTTGGACCTAACAGCGATTCGGCAGAGGTGTAGGAGGCAATGGGGCGGCTGATAAGTATTAGTTCCGACTTCGCGAGACGGCAAGGGGATGGATGGTGGTAGAGTGAGGGGTGGGTTTTGGGCCACATGGACACCTTCAGCAGAAGCATACCTCGACAATTGAAGAGTACCTTGATCAACAGCAAATTAATAGATTTTGATTCAAGTTCGTAAGGAGAAAAGAAAGAAGCCCCCTTCGATGATGCAGCAACCGGAGGGCAGTCGAGCTTTCAGTGTTTACAGTTGTAAATTACATACTGGCGGTGTGCGCATAAACGTTTGAATATGGGGGGGAATTACTATACCAATACTATCGTAACAAAAGAGGGGGATCTGTGGCGGTGGTGGCTTGCGGGCAGAATTTCCACCGGCGCAACGCTCGAGTCATCCAAGACTTTGTGCACCGATCACCACATCCTGAATTTCTGTACGGACTTTCCATATATTTTGTCTGAGTCGCCTACTTGGGATTAGTTCTGGTTTGCCAGACATTTCGCTGATTGATACCAGAATTCGCAACCCCCACCATGCCCACTATCTCGGTCGACAAGGCCGCTCTTTTCAAAGAGTTGGGCCGAGAGTACGTCTCTAGGTTTTGTAATTGAACTCTACTGAACTCGCTGCAGGTATACCACGGAGGAGTTTGATGAACTGTGTTTCGAATTTGGTGGGTTGGCTGGGAATTCCTTGCGGGGCATGACTGACTTTGAACAGGAATTGAGCTCGACGAAGATGTACATCCTCCGAAACCCGATCATGTATAACAAATGCTGATCTTTTCAGACCACAAACTCAGACCGTCCTATCGTCGATGGAAAGCAAGAACCTCCGCAACTCAAGATCGAGATCCCCGCCAACCGGTATGCGTGATATCTGAAGAGAACAAATGGAAGAATCCAGACTAAGAAGAGATTAGATATGACTTGCTGTGCTTCGAGGGCATTGCGCTCATGTTGAATATCTTCCTGGGCCGCAAGCCCCTGCCCGAGTACAAGTTGACTCAGCCAGCACGGATGGAGCAGATTATTGTCAAGGAAGATGTCAGTACTTCAACACCTACTTTGGTCAGGTGGAGGGGCTGCGCGCTGACCAAAACAGACCACGAAAATCAGACCCTACGTGGCTGGTGCTATTCTGCGGAACATCCAGTTCGACCAGGCTCGTTATGCGTCCTTCATTGCTCTCCAAGACAAGCTCCACCAGAACCTGGCCCGGCAACGAACTCTTGTATCAATCGGCACCCACGATTTGGACACTGTGAAGGGTCCCTTCACCTATGAGGCTCTCCCTCCCAAGGACATCAAGTTTACCCCATTGAACCAGACTCAGGAGATGGATGGCGAGGAATTGATGAACTTCTACGAGAAGCACCAACAGTTGGGCAAGTACCTGCACATCATTCGCGACTCTCCAGTCTATCCAGTCATCTACGACTCCGACCGGACTGTGTGCTCTCTGCCACCGATTATCAACGGCGATCACTCGAAAATCAGCCTGAACACCACCAATGTCTTGATTGAGATCACAGCCCTCGATAAGACAAAGCTGGATATTGTGAACAAGATGATGGTCACCATGTTCTCCCAATATACCTTGGAGCCGTTCACCATCGAGCCTGTCCAGATTGTGTCTGAGCACAACAACGAGACTCGCGTCACCCCCGACATCGCTCACCGCACCGCTCAGGCTGAAGTCTCGTATATCAACCAGTGCTGTGGCTTGAGCCTCAGCCCCGCCGAGATATGTACTCTTCTCAAAAAGATGGCCTTCCGCGCCCAGCCTTCGACCACTTCCGTAGACGTCATCAACGTGGACATTCCCCCAACCCGCGCCGATGTTCTCCACCAGTGTGATATCATGGAGGATGTGGCCATTGCCTACGGCTTCAACTCGCTGCCCCGTGCATTCCCGAACATTTCTGGCACAGTCGCTCAACCTCTCCCCATCAACAAGCTTTCCGACATTGTTCGTGTGGAGACTGCCATGGCCGGTTGGTCAGAGGTATTGCCGTTGATTCTGTGCTCGCATGATGAGAACTTTGGCTGGTTGAACCGTGAGGATGACGGAAACACCGCTGTCAAGCTGGCCAACCCCAAGACTCTTGAGTTCCAGGTTGTCCGTACCAGCCTGCTCCCGGGCCTGCTCAAGACCATCCGTGAGAACAAGCACCACTCTGTTCCCATGAAGATATTCGAGGTCAGCGATGTTGCCTTCAAGGATCTGTCTCTGGAGCGTAAGAGCCGCAACGAGAGACACTTTGCTGCCGCCTTTTACGGTAAGACTAGTGGGTTCGAGGTTGTCCACGGTCTTCTTGATCGTGTTATGGCCATGCTTAAGACCGACTTCTTCGCCGAGGGCGAGACCGCCACGGGCAATTCGTACTACATCAGAGAACTAGATGGTGTGTACCCCCTCGAATCCGACTAAAATATTCGCTAACAGTGTAGATCCCACCTATTTCCCCGGCCACGCTGCTTCCATCCACGTCTGTATTGGCGGCAAGCACAAGGTCATTGGCTCCTTCGGTATTCTGCACCCTACTGTGCTCGAGAAGTATGAGTTGAAGTACCCAGTCAGTACTCTGGAGCTGAATGTGGAAGCTTTCATGTAAACCAAACGGGCCTACGGATGAGTGGCTGTTCTTCTGATTAGAGTTATGACCAAAAGCCAAAAAAATACATAAATCCAAGAAGATCACTGTAAATGGTATGTTAGAAAGGGGCTTGTCTTTACGCGCTTATCGCGCAGAACGCCTTTGAATATAGACTGAAAAGAATATATAATTGAACATAAAGTACAAAAGGGGGTATCCCAAAGAGACAGTCTTGGCTACCGAAAAAGACAGTCTCCATGCCTTGTGGCCATAGCCTCAGCTCTGCAGAAGTAGGTAAGGTAGAAGGCGAACACCCAACAATGTAGGGCTAATGATAAAGGGTATGAACAAGACTACTTCTGTCCATCGTCGAGCCGCTGACCGCGGAACGAATAATAGTTGGTCTGCTTGATATGCCTGGCCTTGCCAGTTCGTTCATCATAGGTGCAGAATCCATGGATTGCGGCGTTAGGTGGTGTGTAAACTGATCAAAATTAGCCTTGGCCCATTGATTTTCACAAAAGATAACATACGATGGAGTGAGATAGCAAAGTTATCCTGGTCCGGATTGGATATCCGATGCAGACCAAGCTTGTCAGACATGTAGGTGACCTGGTTTTCGCCGTAGGTTGTTTGCTTGGTGAGTTGTGGTGGTGAGCTTTGGCCATTCTCGATCTGCTCTTGGTCGGGCCATGAGTATAGATCTTCTTGCAGTTTTCCTTTTAGGATCTACTCCAAATTAGCTTCTAGCTATCTGTTGAATCAAAGAGAATGTACCTTCATCACGCAGTGTGCGTTGGCATGGTCATGAATTGTACTCCCTTTCCCAGGGCTCCATACGAGAATCAGCTGAACGAGTCAGCCAAGCAATCGTTGAGGGGTGACAATTGCCATACCAAATTACTCTTGCCATTTCCTTCATCAATCAGGTTCCTTGTGTATGTCCTACTCGAGTCGCCCAACGCATATGGAGCCCATTCATCCGAATTCGAGACGTATTTCCCCATCAACAGTTGTATCTCCATAGGATCGACATCGCTAGAATCCAGACCCGAGCTTGGACCTAGCGCAGAACTAAGGTCCTCCACGAGCTTCTCAAAGCCAGGTTTTTCGGCGATCAATTCGGTCCCGTTGAGGAATGGCATGTTGAATGATTGTTGTGCTGGGCGCGATTGGGATGGAGTCTATGGAACGAGGGAGCGGTATCGGAAGTTGGCCGAATGACGAAATCGAGAGTGTATCCACCACAGCGGAAATACAAGCTAGGATAGGAGTTCACATAAGACCTGTATTCCCCATTGTGAACTTCGAGACCAAGTGGAGTAATTCAATGTTCACGAGTATGTAGTTGCCCAAGTTATAATTTGGCTATGATAGCGATAAGGAATGATGCCTCAGGCCGTAGATGACATACTTGCCCTCGTCGCCTTAGGCGCACACCCCGCCCTGACTAAAAACTGCGGTGCCACAATCCAAAAGATCCACGGGTCGCCGCAAAGTGCATTTCTCCTTCAAAACTTGTCGCTCAGCTCGCGGGTTCTTAGCGAGGGACATATATTAGGTCCCTTGTACTACCGATTCTCAAACGTTTCTTCAATTGATTTTTTGATTGCTGGGTCAAACCGCCAAAATGTCGACTACTATTGAAAAGGTGCGTGCGGTCAAGATTTTTTGAGCATAGCACCAAACAAGTTACTAACAATGCTTCTGTACAGATCAAGGAGATTGAGTCCGAGATGGCTCGGACTCAAAAGAACAAGAACACCTCATATCATTTAGGTACGCGCAAACCGACGACTTTTCACCGATGACGTCTTCTGACAACATGCAGGACAACTGAAGGCGAAGCTTGCTAAGCTCAAGCGTGAACTTCTGACCCCGACTGGAGGCGGTGGTGGTGGTGGATGTGAGTACTCCAGACCCTGGACACTCTGCTAGGTGCTAACTTGAGGTTAGCTGGCTTCGATGTTGCGCGTACTGGTGTGGCCAGTGTGTAAGTTACCCGAAAAGATTGCGATCGCATACGCTTACAAGTGCAGTGGCTTCATTGGTTTCCCGTCCGTCGGCAAGAGTACACTAATGAATAAACTGACTGGCCAACATTCAGAAGGTTCGTCAAGACATTCCCGACAAACGATTTCTCTAACACCCTCTAGCCGCGGCGTACGAGTTCACAACCCTCACAACTGTCCCCGGTCAAGTGATGTACAATGGCGCCAAGATTCAGATTCTCGATCTTCCCGGTATTATCGAAGGTGCCAAAGACGGCAAGGGTCGTGGTCGACAGGTTATTGCGGTGGCCAAGACTTGCAACCTCATTTTCATCGTCCTTGATGTGAACAAGCCATTGGTTGACAAGCGAGTCATCGAAAACGAATTGGAGGGCTTTGGCATTCGCATCAATAAGAAGCCTCCCAACATTGTCTTCAAGAAGAAGGACAAGGGTGGTATCGCCATCACGGCCACTCAGCCATTGACTCATATCGACCACGACGTAAGATCGATTTCTCACATAGTTTTTGATGAGTACTAACATATCCTAGGAAATCAAAGCTGTAATGGGCGAGTATAAGATTTCGTCAGCCGATATCTCCATCCGATGTGATGCCACCATTGACGACCTGATTGATGTCCTGGAAGCCAGGAGTCGCAGCTACATCCCCGTCATCTATGCGCTGAACAAGATCGATGCTATTTCCATCCAAGAGTTGGATTTGCTGTACCGGATTCCAGACGCCTGCCCAATTAGCTCGGAGCATGGATGGAATATCGACGAGCTGCTGGAGATGATGTGGAAAAAGCTCAAGCTGCGCAGAATCTACACGAAACCCAAGGGCAGAGCGCCCGACTACACAGCACCTGTCGTGCTGCGTTCTTACGCGTGCACAGTCGAGAATTTCGTAAGCGTGGCCCTCATCCTTTTAGGAATTATACTGACGAAGCAGTGTGACGCTATTCACCGCACAATCAAGGACGATTTCAAGCACGCTATTGTGTATGGTCGCTCCGTGAAGCACCAGCCGCAGCGAGTCGGTCTTTCGCACGAGCTTGGCGATGAAGATATCGGTAATTATACCAAAAGAAAAGCGAACATGAATTTCCAAGCTGACCATTTACAGTGTCGATCGTCAAGCGGTAAAGGATTTATGCCAACTCCTTGACCCTCATAGCCCGAAGCGGCGAGATGATCCAAGCGCTGGGGTGGTCTGTGCCAGCATGTCTTTGCGCCTCCGCGATCTGACGGGCGGTTTCTGGGACATCCATAAGACGCCACCGGATCCGAGCGTGGTTGGATAGACTCGTTCACGGCGACACAATTAGGGGGAAAGTCATGAGTCTACCCTTTTGACATGAAAATCAGCATGCACAGCATTGCTGACTTTTGGTGCATCTCAAGGTATAGCCTTGACTTGATTCGATAAGCTCGAGTTAGGCTTCAGGGGTTACACCGGCCCAGGGGCACGCACGAGGCGAATAGCCATGTCTTTCTGATATTCTTGGCACCTTCGGTAGTTGTGGCCCTTGAAGCGACCGGTCCATATTGTTATGATTACCTTTTTTTTTCATGAGGTTCTTTGTCCATCAGCGCAAAAGTTCAGATATTTTATGGCATTCCGGTGTCTCAAAAATATAACCCATTATAAACGAACTATATATGTGCTCGTAGTTACCTGCGATTCCAACCTGGAGAGAGCCACAAATTGCCATTTTTTCCATCTAAGCGATTTACTTTGTCAGACCAATTAGACCCCCTGGTCAAGTTATATTACTTCAGTACTTGGGAATTGATGCAGCATCATGCGACTCCTTATCGCCTTGTACATAACTGACCCTACCATGCACAGATCCGAGGACGCCTGCATGGACAATTTATTTCGATGACATTCTGATTGGCATGTTCCCCTTGCCATTACTTCCCGTCCTGCACAGCATCCTTGCCTGTTATTCTAATGTTTATATGATTTTCGCCCGTGGCTTGATTTCTTTGTTCGCATTGCTTTTTCTCTCCCAAAATTTTTACTTTCGAGGCTGACGACTCAGGCCACAAAAGGCCTAGGCCTCGCTGTTTGCTAACGCCGATCCCAATATTTCTAGCTGTCAGCTCGAAAGCTCCCGGGAAAAAAACGAAGTCGATAGCTTCGACGGAAGAGCCGGAAAGGTAATTATGGTGTGCATACCTCTGTACTCCATAATCTGGTGCAAAGAAGGGCCGCGACTCAACGCATTGACCTACTGCTAATAGCTTAACGGTGATCATGACGGGTCGTGTATACTCGAAAGCCACGAGAGCTTCGGGTTGTAACCATGACATGTTTAATAAACCCGGCATTGCTAGTCTAGCTTCCGATAGGCCCAGGGGAGATATTACCAAGTGAATGATAGGGGAGGATCAAAATGGATCTGTCAACTGACTAGCACGTTTTTCCCAATCTCTTAGCTTCTAATCTCTTGGCTATTGTCCTGCAACTACTTTCCGAAATTTGAGGGAAAAAAAAAAGTACAGATCTGCGCAGGATTGACATGCAAACTAACAAAAATATTTCAACCAAACAGAAAAAAGCAAAAAGTGAGGCAAGGTACAAATGGATTTTAAGAAAACAAGCGGTGAATGAGAGAGATATTGGTCGAATTGCGAACGATTATCTGATCTCCCATCACTCTGTACTCCGTCCTCCGTACGGAGTACTATACATGGTATTATCTGCCCAATGGGGAGTTCTTATAACTGAGTCTGGTACGCTACTAAGTAGTTCTCATGAACCTCTGCGGAGACACAAAACAGTTATAGTGAGGTGGAGAATCCGCAAATCGTCGATTTAGTGAAAACGAGAAAGGGGGCTGTTCACGATCTGGTCCGTTCTCAGATGCAAGATCGGTGTATGGTATATTAATTTCTTGTATAGTATTTAATAGTACGGAGTGCTTGGTAACCTCTTCATCAGGTGACTGTGAGGGCACCGATCGCCATACCCTATAACGTACGTTGTACATTTTTCCTCTCGTGGAGGATCCATCGGTCATCCCCGTCGCATTGCATTGCATGAGCCATGCTTCCCCAGAGTAGCGAAGCATTCTTACTCTGTTTTCTCAGCCTTCTATGGTACGAAGTAAATACTGGTTCGTTTTACTAGCGTACCTGACTCGGGAGGAGTATCTATCAATGCCATACTCCCCTACCATTAATTTTCTAGAAACAATTCTATTAACATTGAATTCTGCACAATTCGACTTCCCGGAGATACCTCGGGCAGAATTAGAATTGCAACAGGTCTGTCAATCGGTACCTGACTCGAGTAACACTAACCCTTGCCACCCTATTGTGTACCCCGAGGGTAATCAGGAAATTTCTCCCCAGAGCTTGAAAATGACAGCCAAGAATGACGGACCAAATTGAAAGAAGCAAATATACGAATTGGCCCGGGAATTTCAATGTTGACCGGTCTAGACTTGTTCCTGCTCCTTCTCCGAAATAGTGGGAACAGTGAAAAGCAATGGCCGTGCCCTAAAAAGATGGAAATCTCCAATGGCGTCAGCCCAGGATCTACCCCGAATTTCCCCCCTAAAAACCCATTATTACTAGTGAAAGCGATTTCCGTTAATTAAAAACTGTGCTAAAATTAAAATCTTTTAGATTTCGTCATACATTTCTTTCGTTTCCCTTGATTTAACTGGTGGAGAGCAAAAAATCTGACGGCAGCAAGCATAATGATTGGTACTGCGACCAAATCAGCGAAGTGGACTGTCAAACATACCAATTGAAGCCCTCTCTAGTTAGTCCACGGGTCCACGGGTACTGGGGATGATTTGTCAGACCTCTTTAATACCTTTGCCTTTGCTTTTGCTTTTGCTTGATCTTTGTCTTTCAGACACATTCCACCCAGACAGATTTCGAGAACGAATCCTCCCAAGTATCTGTAGTAAAGCAAGCGGATTTCACATTCGTCTTCCTCGTGGTTGAGTCGAACAAGCGGGGTCTCGTTGAATATTTGGGTAGTATTCAACTATAGACCGCGTCCAAAGGAGAATACCCGTTCTATAGCAGAGTGTATTTTATGTCGTAGAAGCCCGTCCTACGGTCTTCGGATAGTACTACCTTGATAGTTAACCTACACTGCGTACCTATCACTTGCTCTATACCCTATATCTGTTCTCTGCTTCTACCCTCTGTTCAACATGCAAGATGCAACAGAAATGTTGAAGGTTCCCGGGCCGGAGGGGACCGTAGTGGGTCGCAGTGGAGAAGGACGAGGGATCTTAGCGCATCGCAATGGGGAAGTTCCCCTCTTTCCACAAGAGATGCCTTTTAAACCCTCTGATAGGACGACTCTCCAACCTCCTGTTCGGCCCTTGTATTGGATGGACCAGGTCGTATCGACCGCAGGGCAACGGAGACGGCAGATTCGTCCATCCAGAGATCGTCCCGCTGCTCCTCATTTGCTCAGTTTTAGCCGTGTCGTCTCTCGTGGATGTCTGATGCGGTTCATATTCTGAACTCCCAAGGTTAGGATCCGCCTTCCTACATAACATCGCTCCAATCTGGTAATATTTCCTTATATGGCTCTGTTCAATCCATCCAATCTATTCCGTAGGGATTTGCTTTCTCTTCCTCTCTCTCTCGGTCCCCTCTGCTCTGTCTTATGATTTGTGTTCACTAGAGATTAAGACCCCTCGGACCCGGTTTCTTCACCTCCACAACGTGAACCGTGCGCCGAAATACATCCTATGGGGATAGGAATTTGAATGTTGAGTTCCTGATTCAACAGTTTGCTTTTTGGCCAAAATGAAGATATCTCCAATAGAGACTCTTTCCACGGTAGGATAGTCGATAGTCTGCCTGCCGCTATCCTTTTCTCGGTCCACTCTGGTCGCCGTCCTCGGCTGCGATGTGCATGGATTTCATGCGGGCTTTAGGTTCAGCGGTTTATCGATCCGCTACCCGGCTTTGAGCAAATCAAGCTACAGACTGGGCTACGCTTTGAACGAACCCCGTTCTTCTCCGGATGATCAACCCTGATTTGACGCAAGTTTCTCGAAAGAGACCCTTAGCCTAGTGAAAGCGAGGCGACAACGGCCAGCCACCGGGAAGGACTAGACATTGACAGACATTGGCCAAGGTTTTGAGTGAAAATACTGAACGGTCATGCTGTTGCACCTCTATCTTCCAACATGAACCCTGGGTTACCAATATTAGACGTCATGTTGGACCTATATGGAATACCTACCAGGTTATATTGCCAGTATAGAACATACTCGTACCGTCGAGTCTGCCATCCTGGTTGGAAGGTCATACGGGAGAATGCAAAGAAGAAAAAAAGAAAACAAAAATTCCAAAAATTCCAAAAAACCGCGTTAGCCCTGAGAACGAAGATTTCCATACCTTTACACTGTAATACGCAAAACGAATTGAGCCTGACGAGATGCAACCCCTGCCGCAATATATCGCACGGCCAACCAACCAAACGCCGTTCCCCCCTCTGTTTACAGGGATGATTTTGAAATTGCGCGAAATTAAAATTGAGATATTATTCTTATATTTCATTTTTGTTTTTCATTTTCGAATGGGCTTTTTCACTGTATTAGCCAATCACCAACCAGTTCGGCTGGATAACTCTCGGGGGAAGGTTATCATGGATTTCTCCGGACGGTCTTTCTCGTGCCAGTTGCAATCGATATACACAGTCGTTCTGTCAAATCCACGCGATACTGATCGTCCTACTGATTTTCCTTTTAACCCCCATTGCCTTACCCGCATGCTCTTTTACCTTCTTGCATATCATATACTTTATACACTTCCCACCTTCAACTTCCCTCTAGGTAGTTTATAGAGCTACTCGGGACATTACTCTCTGGGTAATTTTATACAGGTCTACGGAAGCAGTGGAACATGCATCAGCTTTTATTGACTCACCCTTAGATTGTTTCATTCTTCCCCGGGATTTCTTTTGTCTCTCTTTCTTTGATTCCTTCTCGAATCGAGCCTGTCACGAAAAAAACCCCAAAAAAACCCAAAAAAGCCCTATCTCCATTGTCCTTGAGACCCATTGTCCATGGAGGAACCCACTATGGAAACGGAGGCTCATCCTGGGCAAGAGGGTGAATTCCCACATTCGCCATGGGTGGAAATAGGCACATTTGCTTCTCCTCAGCACTCGCCTCCCATGCCTGAATATAGTGGGTTTGAGTACGGTCCATCGCAGCTCATGGCCGTGGACTCGTATGGCATGTCAATGCCCCCGCCCTACGCCTCCATGCCACTACCCATGCCTTCGCATTCCTGGCCCAGCATGCTCACGACACACTCTCCGTTTGCTGCGTCTGGATTACCTGTCACCCCGACATCGGTGTCGCCCTCAGCCCCCATGCCTCCAGTGCGAAAGACCTCGACTGGAGGGTCTACACCGCGTAGGACACTTACCGACGATGACCGCCGGCAAATGTGTTTATATCACGAGGAAAACAAGACTGCTAAACAGACTGATATTGGAGGTAAGCGTCATCTCATTATCCGTGTTGAGGGACTAGGCTGACTGACCTTACGTGCAGCATTATTCGGAGTCGAGAGAAGGTATCATTTCAAGCTCGTGTTTTACTTGATTCAAATCTAACATATAATAGCACTGTTTCCAAAGTCCTTCGCCAGAAGGAAAAGTACCTAAACCCCGAAGATGGGAGTCGATCTCCCATCAAACGGGCTAAGGGCAGAGTCCCCGATATCGAGAAAGCTCTATCCAACTGGGCACGGAACTACCAGCGCCAAGGGTATCCCCTGAGCGATGAGATGATCAAAGAAAAAGCACTCTTTTTTGCCAACACTTGCGGCTGCCCTGAAGGCAAGGAAAAGGTCTGCACTGCAGCCTGGCTAGAAAAATTCAAGCACAAGAACAATCTTCTCGGCGCAAAGATGCGCAGAGGATCTACCGAAATTCGCAGTGGATCAAACAGCCCAACCCAGCTCAATACAGACTTTGGATCTGCTCTTCAAAGTCCCACCGGACCCTCGCCCACGTCTCCTGTTGATGGCCTCGGATCTCCATTGTCTCCAACCAGCCAAGAAGGAATCAAGCGGGACATGGCTGAACTACCGGATCTGACAGGGGGATACCAACACGGGTATTCCAAGAGTACAACCTCACTCGACACTTCCTCGGCGGGTATGGTCAGCCCAACATCCACTTTAGTCTCCGACAGCCCTTTCACACCAACAAGCCAATCCCGCCTTCCAGCCGCCAACAGCAACACCAACCGCCCGCGCAGCCAGACCTTCCCTTCCGTCCCCATCGATCCAACCCTCCTATCAGCCGATGAAGCCACAGACCCGCATCCCCAAAAGCGCGAACTCCAGGAATCTCTTTCGGTCTCCATCCTGCAATCCCCACTGGAAATGAACGAGCCCAAGCCCGCCATGTGCCCGGTCCACCAAACCAACGTCATCAAGCGCAATCGCAGCAACCCAGAGATCACGACAAAGTCCATGCCGCCGCCGTCAAAGTCTACTACCATCTCGCCCACCAGCTCTCCGGGATCACCCACCCAGGACGAGGCTCGTCGCGCCCTGGAGCTCGTGATCAACTACTTCGACCATCAGCCTGCCGGCCTGGCCGCACAGGAGTACATGACCATCGGGAAGCTAATGGAGAGGCTTGAGCTTGCCAAGAGTCAGGCTGGGTTTCTGTTGGGTGGCTTGCCGCGCATTGATGAACATGAGGATATTCCTATCCCGCGTGTGACGAAGAAGAGGAGCATCCACAATTTGGGATGAGTCTTGAGCAAGCTGCAATTTGCATATTCCCCCATCCTCTTTTTATGAATTTATTTCCCCCCTCTTGCCTTTTTGCATTGCTGGTTTTATCTCTTGAAGCATACCCCCTTCCCCTCCCCAACATTATCTGCTTTACTTACGACTTGTGATTCGTGATTCCCCCTTTTCTTCTTCTTTTTCTTCAATCGGCGGTTCATTTGCTATTCTGTTTTTCTTTTTTGGTATCACTTGTATCCATTTCCTACCTCCCCAGCCAGCAATGGCAACCAGATATAAAATCCTGGGCAACCAAACAAAAACATACACATATCCAGAGGGCGACCTCTACTTTTCTTTGCAACTCTTGGGGTTACGGATTTGGGAATAGGACCCTTTTGGATGAGGTGGATGCATATGGAAGGGCACATGGCAATATGTGATGGTATATTTGGACTTGGACCTGGGAGTTTTGCCGCTTGCTTTCTTCTTGGGGGTTTTTTTTGCTTTTTTGCTTGTTTTTTCTTTGGCTATTGGTTTGCTATATCCCCTGTTATCTTTTGCATTCTGTTTCCTTGAGACCCCCCTCCCTTGCCTTGTACTGAATGTCTTTCTTACGCTCTTTTCATATTAATTTCTTCCCCTTTCTTTTTAAAAACTGGGCTGCTCACGCGGAAATAACATAATTTCATTGGGTTCGCCTATATATGAACCATGTCAAATTAATTTTGCTTATTATACCCCCGATATCTTTCTACGATCACACTATTTTGAGTTTTGGAACTTATGCTAGTCATAAGTAAAGGCATATCTCGTTAATTAAGTCTGGTTATAATAAAAAAGGCCGCAACTAGTATGTAGTCTATACAAATGCAGGCGGCACTGACGCCACCCCACGATCCTCCAGTAAATCCTCAACACTGCGCTCAGCCATTTCAGGGAGCACCTTGGCCAGCACTGTCTCGATAATACTCCATACTAGATGTTTGTTGCAGTATTCATCTGCAAAGAGGTCTAGAAAATCATGTTCGATTGTCTCCAGGAGATGTCGTTCCTGGCAATCAATCCCCGCAGACGGATCATCGTCTGTGCGCAGCCGCTCAGCGGTAACGTGACCACACGCAACTGGACAGCGGTCCGAAGGCAAAGTCGAATTCGATGACGCCAGATTTTCCTTTCCCTCCTGAAATGATCTAAGGTGCGTCCTGGGGGAAGGGGGTGGGGATGTGACGAGAGAGGGCGAACTGTTGGAGCTGCAGGTACCGTCACGACTGTAGGGCGGCGGAGGCGCCGACGAGGGAACACCAAGGAGAGTTCGTACGACAGAGCGCGGGATCACGGCCAGGAGACTAGCTGCACATCGTCGCTTGATAGCGGCGATCTCCGTGCTAGATGGGCTGTTCGGTTTTACTGGTTCGGCCGGGTCATTTAACTCTGGTGGTGTTGGGAGATCGGCTGCAACGGCAGAAAGTGACGATGGGCGGGCTGAGGTGGCTGTTGAGGCACCCCCTCCAGTATTGCCGCTGTTGCTGCTGTTCCCCGGATTATTAGTTTTACTAATGACATCGGTATCAGGGCCCCTGCCTCCTTCCGCAATAGGAGTATTAGGTGAGGCCGTGGGCGCGAGGGCTTTCTGACTGGGCGTCGGGGTCTGCACAGACTGCAGAGCCGAGGCCGGAGCTTCAATATGCCCGGTCGCTATCTGAGGTATTGGACGGGTATTGGCTGGGAACAAGGCGGTCCTTGTTGCAAGAAGAAGGTTGGGCAACAAAGTGGGGGTCAGCACGTACTCCTCAATGGTTTCCCGGAGGAATCTGTGGGAATTAGCAAAGGTCTCTCTCAAATCATGACGTCGGAGCAATTGGGCAAGTCCCTCCCAAAAAGGAAAATAATAATAAAAAAGTGAAGCGATGATCTTGACTGTGGAGCTTTCCGGGACGTTGTGCATTTTTTTTTCTCTCGCGCATATTTTTAAGAAAAAGTCCAAGTTGCCATCAAATAAGAATTGAGTGTATAGAGTGGGGGTGAGGCGGAGCAAGATCTGCTTAGGCAGATGAAGGAGCTTGGGCCAGGATATCATTTCTCTCACGTCAAAGAGGAAAACCCCCTCTTCAGGTAACATCCCAGCGTACTCCGTACCTGGGCTTCATGCACGAACCTCGGTCAGATTACGAATTTCAGTTCCCGGCAGGAATTTCGCTCATTGGACCGAAACCAGTAATTCACTAGCCAGGGGCTATTTCTTTTTCGCCAAAAGAAGTATGGCCCAGCTCACTTCCAATGGGGTGATCGGCGCCATTTTCATTTTTCCCTTTTTTTTCTTTCTCTCTTTTGCTCGTGCACGATTCTTGCCGAGAGTTTGATCGTCGTCCAGATGCGGTCTTATTTCTTTTTCTTTTTTTGGCGACCCAACTCCGTTGAATGTTGGCACATGTTGGAAATCCTAAGATTTGCAGCAGAAAAAGTGGACGAGCGGCACGGAAAGGCCCGGGCCCCGGCGCTATCACGCACAAGGGACTTCTCTGTCTCAAAGAAATCCAGAGACGGGGCATCCGGCAACCCACGGTCATCCCTGCTTGAAAAAAATTCAAGGTCGCTCGGACCAATTTGAAGGCAACCAATCTGATGCCAGAACAGCACAGTAAGCCTGACGGTAATGACCGTACAGTAAGAAGACCACGTAAGATCGTAAGATGGCCGTAATCCCTCCCACGGGTAATGCAGCCTTCCAAGGTTACAGATCAAGTGACCGACGCAGCATGCGAGCAAGACGCTTCATGTCCCACCTTGACTCGCACAAGTGACACTTGACCCGTAGATCGTGTTTCGGAGATCGTACCGTTGCTCCACAGTCATTGATTTTCAAGGCCTGAGCCCTCGAGAAGGAGGGTTGGGGCGTTGAGGGGTTGCAGAGAAGCAGAAGAACTCCGGAGATTAAAAAAGTAGAACAAACTCACCTATCAATGATTCCGTCCGTAGCACCGACCCTGCCTGGGCCTGCCAAAATAAGATGTTGGAATAAGGCGAGCAACCCACTCAGCCATGGCATTCTCCATGAGATTCCCAGTATCTGCGAAACCATGGAATATATCCGGTAGTCGAGAACCGGGCGCCTACTTGTGATGACATCTGAAGACTCCATCCCATCTCTTTTCTGGTTGACGGTTGAGGCAAGTGAAACACCGACACCGTGTGGAAAAGGGCCTGGATTCGATACGACACGAAATAAACCCATGGCAATGAAACGCAAGACGACGTAACCAAGATAAATCCCCTGTAGAAGGTTCCATATCCAAGTGGTGCCCGAGAACAATGTCGATGGTTGCTCTAGGAGCTCATCGTCGGTTGAAAGCAAGCCAAACTTTTCTAATCGGTTGATTTGAGATTCCTGGGCGGACTTTGTGTTATCTTGCGTTTGACGGGGTCCCACTTGAGCGGCGAGTTTGCCTATATTGTCCCAAATGAACCATCCTTCGCATGCCCTGCCACTGACTTGGTTTCCCAGGAGCAGATCGGCTATAACATCAACGACCAGCGCCCGGAGACTGCTATTCTCGAGGTCTTCCGTTGGAAGAAGAACTGCTAGAATACCATTGGCGAGTAGTCGCCGGTAGACCGCTTCGTTCTCTATCTGCTCGGCGATCGTATCTGGATCCCCTGGATCAGGTACTGGAGAAAGACCGGGGTGCGGATTTAGCTCATGATAGAGCGTACGGTACGACGTCGGTAGACCAGAAAGATGTGACTGTTGCCTGGCCAGTCTGTACGCTGGAAGATCATATAGTCAGCAATGGTTCCCCTCTCCGCGGAACCCCCATGGATTCCGACAAGAATAACTTTAAAATGGTCAAGTCTCACAGAGTACATGTGCTTCCACCAGGCCAGGAATCTCGTCAAGGGCTAGTTGTGCAACGTCGATTTGGCGCAGCCTCTGCTCGAGTGCACGCGTGCAATGCGCAATTACTTGTAGAACTTCATTCACAAGAGCCTGATCGGGGGTAATCTTCGAGTACCACGAATAAACAAATTCTTTTATTATGATGGCGAGAAGGGCGTAGAGTTGACGATCAACGTCATTGGAGCTCGTGAGGGGAGGTAACAGCTCTTCCGGAGGCTGTGGGGAAGTCGCTCCGTAGTTGCTTGTCTGCGGGCACAGGACGCGTCGGATCAGGGCAGTAGTGGCCTTGTTGCTAGCGGAGTCCGGGTCATCTTTACCAGAAGATTTTTGTGTACGGAGTCGAGATGAAGGACGCGAAGGAGGTTGGAGCGTTGTCGGGGAAGGCAGCGCGGTGGATGTGGAGCTGGAGGTTGTCGGCCCAGCCTTGAGATGGGATATAGGCTGAAGGCCGGGGCGGAGCGGTTCATTCATTTCATCTCATAGGCGTTTAGAGTTGGTTAAATAGCTATCAAGGAACGAAGCGTTCTCTGTTAACAGCAGGACAGCTAACCTTGGAGTTGCCGACTTGTACCCGTCCAAATTGGGATTATAGGGCTTAGGGCTTTACAATAAGCCTTATCGCTCTCCATTGATGCGGGGATCTGTTTATGTCCGGCCAAATGTACTTAAGTGCCCAAGTGGCCTCTTGATTTTCAATTGTATTTGTTGCTTTGAGATATACATCATGTTAGACCGAATTAACCAATATAGTCCTACTCCCCTGTGGTTGGATTGCGATCCTGGTCAGTCCATCGTATTCCTTTCGCTTTCATACTACTGACTGCTCTTAGGCCATGATGTAAGTCTCAAGGCATTTTGGGGAGACATTTGTTAATATATTATAGGATGCTTTTGCAATTCTGATCGCCGCTCATCATCCATCTTTGGAACTTCTTGGAATCAGTACTATCCATGGAAATGCATCGTTAGAGAAGACAACCGCCAATGCTGGCAGCGTTCTAGAGGCGATCGGCAAACCCGACGTTCTTGTCTATCCCGGTAGCAACAAGCCATTTTCACGGCCTGCTCTTCATGCGCCCGATATCCACGGTAGGGAATGCAAGCATTGTGGGCGAAATATTTTAATAACCCATTCTAGGCGAATCCGGTCTTGACGGGACCGACCTTCTTCCCAAGGCCACTAGAGCACCCATCACCGATAAGAACGCCATTTTGGCCATGAGAGATGCTCTTCTTGCACAGCCCAAGGGTACTCCCTGGGTAGTCGCAACGGGTACCTTGACTAACATCGCACTGTTGTTTGCAACATTCCCCGAGGTGGCTGAACACATCCAAGGGCTGAGCATTATGGGTGGTGCCATCGGTGAAGGATTCACCGATGCTCCCATGAGCAGACTCCCAGGTGAGAAGGCCAGGATTGGAAATGTGACCCCATGGGCCGAGTTCAACTTCTACGTACGTTTTCGAATCTTTCATCCCTCTCTGGCTCGTCTAATCACCATGGTATAGTGTGACCCGGAGTCTGCCAAATCAATCTTTAGCAACCCAGTTCTTGCATCTAAGACGACTATCATGGCCTTAGATCTCACACATCAGGTTTTGGCATCACAGGCTGTTCAAACGCGCATCTTGCATGGCTCGATCCACTCGACCGAGGAACCCACTATCCTTCGGCGGATATTGCATGCCCTACTCAATTTCTTTGCTGCCACATACGAGAACGCCTTTGGTTTGACCACTGGGCCTCCACTGCATGATCCTCTTGCTGTGGCTGTCGTCTTGTCCACGCTTAATCCAGCCTTTGCCAATAAACATCCCAATCAAGCTCTTGCTTTCGATGATAAAGGCGGCGAGCGTTTCGCTTTGAGTATCGTCACAGATGGAAAGCACGGGAAAGATGTATCCACAACAGGTCAGCTGGGTCGTTCGATCGCTACTCCTGTTGATGGTCCAGGCGTTGCCGTTCCCAGGGGTGTTGATCTAGATGCCTTCTGGAACATGGTCCTACAATGTGTCCAGCTGGCCGATGATTGCAATGCTGCACGTATGGTCTGATGCAACATCATCTCTGAATGATCTGTGAATATTTTAAGGGTTTTGGTCGCTTTAGACTGTGGACTAGATCTTCAATTGCACATATACTAGGACAAGGTCTTGATGGAGATGGGTCATAGAGTAGTTTGCGACATGTCTAGATAAGTCTAGGAATCCATTCACCTTGTCATTAGCAGCCGGGTACATTAGATATGGATGCATCCCAAGGTCCCAAGGTTAAGGTTATAAGGAAGGTAACGAACTGCAGAAGGCCAGTTACGCAGTGGAAGTAAGAAAGTTGTACTATAAAGAGAAGAAGGACAGTAGTTTAAACAGGGGAGATTTATGCCCGCTTCGTCCCTGAGTCGTGCATGTAATGATGATGATTCCATCTTGCATCTGAGTCCCCTTTTAGTAATACATGTAGGTAGCACTCAGAATGATCACATCTATGCAGCTGTGGACGGATGTCCTATTCTTGGTAAAAAACAAATAACCTTAACGTTGGAAATCTCCAGGGCCAAGGGTCAAAGAATTTAAATACCTAGGTACATCGAGGCCCATTCTTATTCACAAGCTGAGAAAATGATTGGAGTTTCCTAGCTTTAGTTATTAAGCAACTGGATTGCCGACATGGAGAGACATTTACTCAGGTCGAGTGGCACCCTTTGGGTTCCTAATCTATTTGTGGCCATTGTGAAAGGCGAAGGGTGTTGGGAGCCATTATTGGGGGTTTAATGCCCTGGTATATATCAAGCTCGATGAACGCTTGTTCTGCACATAAGTAAGTGGTCTTTTTAGTGACCTTTATAGATCGCTTTTTAGATGCAGTCAGCTGGTCCACAGGTGAGGTTTTGCAGGATGACGGGCTTCCATGTTCCTGACTTCCAGGGGTATGACTTTGTCCATATATATGCATAGAAATAAGTAAGAATAGGAATAATCAAGACGAATCGAATTCCCGTAAAATTCAACGAAGTTCACAGATTCCCTCTAGAGACGGCCCCGGCTGAAAGGAAGAACGTCATATGTTGCGGGCATCTCCACATCTCCAGAGCCCAAGAAGCACAACATCTAACACTTTCTCCATCCCAATTTATGGACGACTTTCCCCAGTCTTAATTATTTATTTCTATATTGTACGCATATATTGGTCCCTTGGCCTTGCATGGCCAACGTCGATCCCGCACACTCCTTGACGGCGCATTCCGACCAGAATGCCGCCTCCTAACTCAGTACATCTCCTCGCAATCTACCACAGCCTATAATTCGTGAGCTAATACCCTCTAGCGCAACACGCCACTCTCTCCGACGACTGCGACACCTGACCCTCCGCGACGATCGTCCATTCCCACAGCTGCCCCCGTGGAGACCGACAACGCCCACGATGACAACGTGAACTTCCTGCGATCGCGACCAGCTCTCTTCAACCCGCTACTACCCTCCTTGAGCCGACAACGTCGCCGCCGCTATCCGACCAATCCGCCGCAAAACGAAGACCGCATGGAGGTGGATGATTCCGCTAACCCGCGCACATCCGTTGAACTCAACCGTCGCATCCCGATTGTGCGCCGCCAAGAGAGATCAACCGACATGCCGAACTACGAGGGCCGAGTGCCCAACACACGATCGTTGTATGGATGGGCACCCGGATCCGATGACGAGGATGCTCCGCGCGAAGACTCAGAAGATGAACAAATGCAGCCCTTCCTCCATTCCACCTCAAGTCGCGATACACCCCCCGCACGACCGCCGCGCAATGAGGTTCCTGGCCCCGCTCAACTGATACCCCATGAGTATGCGACGCTGCCGGGCAGCAGTAGTCATGCTCGCAGATCGATCTCGGCAGTGGCGGCATTGTTACAATCTGTAAGGCGTCAACCTCGGCTTTCAAGAAGTCGCACACTGGAGAACTACATCATCGATCGCTATTCAGATGCCACTCCAGACGAGGATGCTGAAAATACGACCACAGTCGCATCTCGGGGATACCGCTATCGTCCTACGACGCGCGGGGACTCGCATCATACCGACCTCACCCACAACGACCTTCGCGCTCGGGCTGCCGCTCATCGCCAGCTACACTCAGACACATGTCTGAGCAACGTGCTGGGGGAAACTATCCGCTATCTTGATCGCATTCGGTATTCAAACTCCTTTGAAGATAGTATGCTCGCCTTGGCGGACAGTCGGCTATCCTTCTCGATGGACACCAAGTCTTGGAGAGATACGGACTTCATTCTATACACTCCGAACATTGCACCACCGGCGGCGTGCTCATGGCTTCGATCTGCAATGGCCTTTTCGGGCTGTCAACGAGCTGCAAGTGCCGGGTGCTCAGTGTTGTCGCAACGCATTCCCAGTCCGAACGCTCCCAGTGAACCTGTGATTGTAAATGGAAGTGATAGCACCCGAATCAGCGTCTCTACCACAAGTGGCCGCCGATACTTAGCTAATAACCGCGACGAAAACTGGCCTGTCAAGGTCACGATACACCAGATCAACCACGATGACATGACTTTATCTGGCACCATGGAGGCCTACAACATCCCCGATAAGACCTCGCCCACCCACGATGCACACATTGTGACTTTCTTAGAGGGTGAGATTATTGATTTCAACAATCACACACTCGAGACAAAGAACTTCAAAGCAGATGCAGACATCGATAGCACCTACTGGCGTGAACTGCAACCGTTCAAGGATTTGACAGATGCTGAGATGGCCCGGAACCTTTTGAGTCGGAAGTGGATTACCGAGAAACTGTCCAAGGGATGGATCTTGATGAGATGGAAGGGTAAGCAGCGGGAGATGACGTATCCTTTTGTACCTTCTGCTTTTGCTAACATCCATGGATGCCCCAGAACGATGCTTCATCACCCCAACCGATGCTCGTCAAGGTCTTACAATTTCCGGATTCTACTACATCTCTCTTCGCCGCGAGGACGGGCACATCGAAGGCCTCTACTATGACCCAGGAAGTTCGCCTTACCAGCAGCTCTCTCTAAATCCAGAAGTATCGAAAATGGTTCGCCCTTCTTATGCTTTCCGCTGAAAGGAAGCATCCTTTACATATCCTTCTCTTGTTATCTCTGTTTTTCGCCCAGAATAATCTTCTGGTCCTTTCTGTCTGAACCTTCGGTGTCTCTGATTTGGCGTTTTGGAAAACGTTAGATCGCATCTGACACGGCCCTTTGCATAGCTCGGCGGTGTTCTTGTTCGGTTTGTTTCTCTTTCTTTGCATTTTTTCCTTGCGGAATGACCTGCGGCCATCAAATTGCTGCAATGGGTCTGCCTTTCTTTCTGAGATCATGACTACGTCTCTTATCGTTTTGTATCTATGGACAAATATGTTCTCTTTTTTTGGGTTTTATGGAACTCCGGAAATGAGGAAATTCCACTCATCTCAAGGGTCCCGCAAATCACTCCCACTTTCCCACTTTTTATGTATTGGCTCGATATATCAGAAACTAACCCGATCTCATCGAGATGGCAATCGAACTATCTCAGGAGCTCGTGCACAAGTGCTCAGCCTCGTCCAATTCAAGACGTCGGAAACTCGACCAATCATATCGCGGTCTCTATGAATCTGCTGAAAAAGCAAATTGACATTACCGTGAGAGAAATGATCAGGGGCTTCCTATTTGTTTTCGCTGCCCTGGCAAGATTATTCACTGCATGATGAATAACTCTCTTGACCACAAACGATGATGGTGACTAGGGGTAACTTGTAGATCACCAGCGCTTAACATGTCCATTGACAGTATGACGGCTGCTTAAGCGTTCGAGTTTCGAAAACTAACCTTGGAAAACTGCCGCAATTTTACTCTATTGTTCTAACTGTGGATTCTAGATGAAAGGCTATTGTACAATGGCGTTCCTCTGCTCATTACATGCATTTAACTCATTGCAGCTGCAGACATGGTACGTACCCCAGAAAGAAAATAGGAAGCCAGCCTTGGAAATACATCAAAGAAGTGGATTGCAAGGATGTTGTTGAATCGACAGCTGCTAGTTAATACGTTCAGTCTTGATGAGACCTATGATTCAATGATATATGCAATGATATGCATGTAGACCTTGACGAGTCACACAGGCTACATATAATAACTCCTGCATTCCCGTCAAAACGGCTAATCACCTAGCTCACCTCGAACCTTTCAATGTTATATGTTCGATTGCGCGGAGCTATGTCGGCTTGTCTGGCCTCGTACTTACACTATTTCCCTAAGATATCGCTCTCGGTTCGATTGTTTTGGTCGGTTGATTCGCCGGTAAGTTGGACGGCATGGAAATCCGGGGTGCGGACGCAGTCTAACCATTGAAACAGAACCATGAAATATAAGAAACGGTCTACTTTTGGATTGGGTACAATAGTTGACTCGTTTGCCTTACTCGCTCTCACCTGCGCTCAAGCGCTTGCTATGTAGGTCTAATTCTAGTGTTTCTTGCAGGAACTGGACTGGCGGGCCTATTTACCACCGAATTGGTAGCCTTGTCGGCACGGGTTTGAGGAGGACATGCTAGAACCGATTACTACCTATTACTTCGCCTAGCGGCTTGGATTTATTATTGGTGTGAAAACCTCGGCAGCGATAGTGCGGACTCTATTTGCCAACGAGCTTCGGCGGAGCTTGCATTGGGTATCTCAAGCCGACGAGGTGAGCTTTCGGATTCTCGGCGGAAGACATGGTGTTCTGCCCATTTGCTACAGCTTATTCAAAGAGTCCTCAACGACAATCGCTTCACGGAGTTCTGACCTGAATAATTCAATCGCAGGTTCGGCAAAGCTTCCAACACGGCTTTCGAGCCATACCAGGTATGCATTACTACCGAGGCTCTGGTGCCGAAACTAATGTTCGAATCTAGTTCTTTGCCTGTATACTATCTTAGCGGAAGTACCGATTGTCGTACTCCGACAATATTCGATGTCGTGAGCACATTGGGAGATACCTGTAACGAGTAAGCCCCAAACGTTATAGATTGGCCTATCTCGAAATATTCCGGGTTGATTGCGAGTACATCTGACTACATAGGAATGTTCATGATGTACCAGCCTAGTTCAGCATTACAAACGTAATATGAATGGAATGCGATTAGAATTGATTAGATCGGAAAAGGGATATTGAAGCCATCCCCGCAGATATCATATGCACTATGTACATGCGATTTAAATTATGCTTCCCTTTCCCGCATGTACTTTCCCGATTGCGGAAAGTCTGAGGAGTCGGTTACATTCATATGGCCCGCTGTAGATCTTCTCTCTGCGGGTTCTTATCTCTCTATATGAAGGTACAGCCAGCCCTCTCCAGGGCTGTGGGTCCGCATTATTTATTGCAATCGATTCCCTTTCCGATCTCCAGAGCTTCACCATGCATTTGCACTACATTTCGCTTTTGGCCGCGATAGCAGGCGCTATCCAGCCTGCTATCGGTGCGCCTCACCAGACTCGCACCGAGGGAACATGCAAGAAGACTAAAGTTGCAATTTTGTAAGCCCTGGACTTTGTGTTGATTGATTTCAAGACTCACTATGTATAGGGGAGGTGGTGTGGCTGGTATTACTGCTGCTGTGAGTTTCGCCTTTGGTTTTATCTGAATGCCATTGACAATTCATAGCAAGCTCTGACGAATGCTTCCGTGCATGATTTCGTGATTCTTGAGTACCGCGATACTATCGGCGGTCGGGCTTGGCACAAACCTTTTGGCAAAGACAAAGATGGGAAGCCCTATAATATTGAGATGGGTGCCAACTGGGTGCGCATGTTTCAGCTGTATGAAAGGATGCAAAGGACCCCTCTGACAGGTTAAACAGGTGCAAGGTATTGGAAGCGAAGGAGGCCCGCAGAACCCAATCTGGCTCTTGGTGAGTCTTAAAATGTCTCAGATCGAACGCAAAATCGAACGCAAACTGACTTCGGACAGGCTCAAAAATACGGACTGAAGACTGAATTCTCAAATTACGACAATATATCTACCTACAACAAGGATGGTTATTCCGACTACAGCGATCTACTCGACGCCTATGATGAGGCATATGATATTGCAAACGCCAAGGCAGGTGAGATTCTTACTCAGAATCTCCAGGATCAAAACGCCAAGTCAGGTCTCGCCTTGGCTGGTTGGAACCCCAAGGTACATGACATGGAAGCACAGGCAATTGACTGGTGGTCATGGGGTAAGTCGTCTGTCTTGTAAATGCACCTAGCACGATCAACTAACATCTTTGGCTAGACTTTGAGGCTGCTTACTCCCCAATAGAGAGCTCGTTTGTCTTCGGCTGTGCAGGCGATAACTTGACATTCAATTATTTCAGCGACCACGATAACTTGGTTATTGATCAGCGTGGATTGAACTTTATTTTTAAAAAGCTTGCATCGACTTTCCTCCGTGACAATGACCCACGCCTTCACTTGAACACCGAAGTTACGAACATCACGTATTCGGACCATGGTGTTACAGTTCACAACAGAGACGGCAGCTGTGTAGAAGCAGACTATGCTATTACCACATTCTCACTGGGAGTTCTACAACATGGGGCTGTCAACTTCTCTCCGGAGCTCCCAGATTGGAAGCAGGAAGCTATTCAGAAGTTCACTATGGGAACATACACCAAGATCTTCTTCCAGTTCAACGAGACCTTCTGGCCCTCAGAAACACAATACCACCTCTACGCCGATCCTGTAACCCGTGGCTGGTACCCGATCTGGCAGTCACTATCTACCCCCGGATTTCTCCCAGATTCCAACATCATCTTCGTAACTGTGACCAACGAGTTTGCATACCGAACCGAGCGCCAAACAGATGAGCAGACCAAGAAGGAAGCAATGGAAGTTCTGCGCAAGATGTTCCCGGAGAAGGATATCCCCGAGCCAACTGCATTCATGTACCCTCGCTGGACCTCAGAGCCCTGGGCCTACGGCAGCTACTCCAACTGGCCCCCTGCCACATCTCTGGAGATGCATCAGAACCTTCGCGCCAATGCTGGCCGGCTCTGGTTTGCCGGTGAGGCTACCAGCCCGACCTTCTTTGGATTCCTTCACGGTGCATACTATGAAGGACTGGATGCGGGCCGACAAATCGCGGCTATCATGCAGCACCGGTGCGTCAACGCAGATTCTGCCAAGTTGAGAGAGTGTGGACCTCGCAAGCACTACGAGACCCTGCATGGCACCTCGCCTTATTCAGACTACACTATGCTCAATGGGTGGGCTGTGGACAGTTCGATTGATAATAACCCCGAATAAGCGGAGGCAGAAAACAGGCGCCTATATATACAGGCTTGCAACTTTTGAAGTCAAGTGATTGGGTTTATTCAATATCATAGTTGTAGTCTTGTTCGGATATGAATAGAGCTCAAGGGGCCTTCAAGGGAGCCGCTTTTTTTGTACTCTTATTTCACACCTATAATGCCGACAATGCATCGTATTGAGCCTGGTTCACTGGCAGAACTGACAAATGCCGCATGAAACTCAAGTCGTGGGTGTTATTCACGGTAAATGTACCGGAAGTCTGATCGTTGGACTGCCATGCGTGGATTCCAGCATCACTGCCCAACTTATCACAGAGAAGATATGCCAACCCATTTTGCACATTATCCCAGAATGGATACGGCGCCTCATAACCAGAGCCAGCCTCAATCGTTCCTTTGACCGTAGTCCAATCACCAAAAAGTCCGTTGGTACTGGTCTGTTGCACTGGAACCCCTTCGACAACGTAGAATCGGGTGAGCGTGTTATCGTCTTTGAGCAAAGCCATGTCAATTACACCGGTGTCACCGAGTGACACATATGTCTCTGGTTTGGTAAAGGTCTTGAAGTCGCTAGTGTAGGAATACCGCATACTGGTGTTTAGGGTAGGCGCGCCGGTGTGGTCGGTGTCATCTGCAGAGAACTGCTCTTCTTAGCGGATGAATGGCAGTAGAAAGATTCAAACTTACCAATTGCGCAGCCCAGTGGACAAAGTATTGTCCTTTGGAGGAATCCCAATACGCATCGGGAGCCCAGGCCATTCCGGCCGTTTCATCCTCAACTGTCACCAGCCGCTCATTTGTCCAGGTGACCAGATCTGTGCTCTCCCAAACAAATATTCCGCGAGATCCGGTGCGAGCGCTAGCGTCCCAAGTTGTCTAAGTTCGATCAATAACCCTGTACCCGAATATTCTCGCAAAAAAAGGACTGACGCATACCTCATCAATGTTCAGATCAGTGCCTAAGATATAGAATTTTCCTGCGTTTTCACCTTGTCCGGTAATAATTGATGTGTCCCTGACGGCCTTTGTCCCAAGCGTAGGCGACAAAATCGGTTTGTTTCCGTTGATAGCCTTGAACCCTAGAGCGTCATCGTTGCTGCTGAGGGCAAAATACACGCTCTCGTCCGCAGTTGTCCAGTAGACAGCCAAATAGCCGACTTTACTCGAGTCTGCCTTTTTCTGTAGGGTTGATCCCGTTGGGATAGCAAGGGCAGGTAGAATGGCTAGAAAGGCGGTGGTAAGGTAAGTGAAACCTTTCATGTTGGCTTTTGGAGAAATTGCAGAACAAATTGGATCTTGAGATTTTCTTGGAGATGACAGTAGAAGACTCCTTGTGCGAGTTGGTCCATTTTATACATTCAACGACAGTTCGTTGTTGTATGTTCGAGAATTAGTTTCGGTTAATTGTAGTACGCCTAGGGATCTTCTATCCCAAAACCACCGGTAAATATCCAAAATAGTCAAGCTGTAGAGCGCTGATCCGGAGGACTTTGCGGGGTTGATCTCCACATTCTCCGAGTATTGCCGGTTACAGTATAGGAAGACAGGGTTCGTGGTCGATCATCCACGGAGTTTATACCCGGCTTGGTATGGCTCGATCCTGGCATGGCTAGGATCGACCCTTCGTCGTCGCTGTGACGAACCTGTCGTTTTTTTACCATCTGGCCAAGACATCGCTGGCCGCAGTGGCCTTACCTGGGTGAGACAGTTTCAGGCTATGCTTCACATACCTGTGGCATGAAAGGGCACTCTTTTGCCTTGTGGATACATCTAGGGGCAGGCATGACGGTGGATCAGCTCAGTTAGGCTCCGAGACATGTTCCCATACACACTTTGATCAGCCAACCCAAAAGATGCCTTGTCTCTTTAATCGGATGGCATGGGTGGCACAGGGTTCGGCTGGGAATCAGATCTCTCACAAGCACTGTCTGACTTGGATCCATGAAGCTAATCTCAACAGATCCGATTCGTACGGTGCGGTACTTGCAGCTACCTTAGGTCGCTGACAATGGCCATTGCCGTTGCTACTTTTCAGGTACGCGTGGATTGAATTGTTGGAAGGCGCACAGAATGTCGAATCCAGGCAGGTTGCCATTAACCTCAGCGATCAGTTCCCTTCACCTAAATATGACGAGGAGCGTGATTGCTTGTCCCTCGGAGTCGTGCACCGCCCATTAGCCCGGACGCCGATATTGTGCTAAGCCAGAGCGGAGAAATTCCTGATGCGTGTCTCCTCATATGGCGGGTTTGAAGGCTGAACCTTATGACGCGCGGACTTAGTTCATTCCTAGAGATCGAGACAATTCACTCAAGTAAATCAAAATGTGTGCCCACGCTCGTGGGTCCAATGCTATTTGAATACAAGACTTCCTAACACGGACTGACTCCGCGACAGTAAACGAGGGGCGAGAAGAATCACCGGCTGGCGATGTGAGCTCGACTTCTTTCTCCTATTATCCGCAGTGGCCAAGTTCACTCCACATGTCAGTTTCTGCCTCCCCCGCTCGAAAGTCCTTCCCCGCAGAAGAGCTTTTAAAGGTCGCTTCCGTGAATTGCCCCGGACCCGGAGGCACGGTCGATTCAGACTGCGCCATATCGTAGAGTCAACGCCTCCACTGTACATCGTGGTAGTTGCCATGCGCCATGTTGCTTAAAATTTTGCTAGGGCGAGCTTTGGGGTCAGCTTGATTGCGTCTGGCTAATTACGTGACCTCTTAATCTCCCACACCACCGGTCGTAGCCCCGAACATTCGGCCGATCACTCTGATATAGGCGAGACTGTTTGTGTACTTGGGGCGAGCCCTTCGGATAGGGATAGTTCTTGTCAATGTTGTGAGGGCAAAAGCACGGACAAGTTTCCGAGAGTCGGAAACGTTTACATCAAGGGTGGGATATAAATTTCGAGATCATCGGGGTAACTAGGGGAGACTTGGAGAATGCCTGCAGGGCCGCATTATATCACCTGGGGGTGTGTATACATATAAAAAAGTTGCCCCGTCGAATGCAACCAGTTGAGTCCCTGTACCAACTAGTTGTCTAATCAGCCTCAATCAACAGCGACTACTTGATACACATCTCAATCCATACCTAGGAGAGCTTGACAACAAGCAAAAACAGGAGATGAAGTTTCCGCTTCTATTTGCGGCAACCGGTCTGCTTGGGCTTGTTTGGGCGGAAAGCACCAATGACCAAACGGTTGTCACATATCCCATACCCGGTGGTATTACCCGACGGACAACGTTCAACACTACTGTCTCTCCCTCAGGTCAGGCCAGGTGGAAGGCCGTCGAGGCCTACCAGGCGACAGTCGCTGAGGTCAACGTTACTACTGGATCCTCCATATATCATGACACCTCGGTCGCGTATTTCGACTTCTCTGCTCCCGTTGATGTCTCAGTCGAGTACATGGGCGCCGAGCCCATCAAGTCTGTCCAGATCCGCCCTTACTCGTACGGCATCAAGCCGTTCATCGAAGGCAAGAAGATTTTGTTCACTCTGCCTGAACCTAGGAACCTCGTCATCCAGGTGGACAATGATATTTTCGACTGCTTGCATCTCTTCTCCAACACCATTGACCCGAATCTACCCTCTGCGGACGACCCTAACGTCATCTACTTTGGCCCTGGAGTTCACAACGTCGTCGGCGGAACTACAAATGTCACATCTGGTAAAACGGTATATTTGGCGGGCGGTGCGGTAGTTACATCAACGTTCGCTTTTCAAAATGTCTCGAACGCGTCCATCAGCGGTCGTGGAGTGGTGAACCATGCAAAAGCAGGAGCGCTCCTGGTAGAGTCATCAAAAAACATCACGGTGGAGGACATCATCTTCTTGAATCCGAATGGCTATACCCTCACGGCTGGCGAGGCTGATGGCTTGACCGTCAAGAATATCCGATCATTCAGCTCCATTGGGTGGGGTGACGGCCTAGACTTCTTTTGCAGCAAGAACGTTATGGTCGATGGTGTCTTCATGCGCAACTCAGACGACTGCGTGGCTTTGTACCAGCATCGATGGAACTATTATGGCAATTCCAGCAACATCACAATCAAGAACTCAGCTCTGTGGGCAGATGTGGCTCACCCAATCAACATTGGTACTCATGGAAACTCCGAACACCCTGAGACCATGGACGGCATCACAATTCGGAACGTCGACATCCTCCGTCAACACGAGCCCCAGCAGCTCTATCAGGGGACCCTAGCAATCAACGTGGGCGATGAGAACCTGGTTAAAAATGTTCTGGTAGATGGATTCCGCGTGGAAGATATCGCTATTGGCCAGCTCATCAACATGCGAGTGATGTACAACACAAAGTACAATACGGCGCCAGGCAGAGGCATTCGCAACGTCACTATTAAGAACATGAGCTACAACGGGAGTAGTGCGGGAACATCCATCTTTTCGGGCTATGACGAGTCGCGCAAAATCTCGTTCATCAACTTCCAGAACCTGATTGTCAACCACACCCGTATTGCGGACAATATGCGCAAGCCAAGCTGGTACCTGACAACAGACTACATTCCGGCATACGCGGACTCATTTGTTTCAAACATGACGTTCACACAGTTGAGCTGATGATGGTCAAGACGAACATTCAATAGGGTCGATGCCATGTCACACCTTGTCTAACAGCTGTTTACTATGCTAGCAATATCACGTATTATGGGATGCTGGAAATCCGTAAGGTATAGATAGTTCGATTAAGGGAATGCAATCCCATAGTTATATGTACTTCACTGTCTTCCTCCGTAGTGATATGCATCGCCAGCTGATTTTGTTAGCATTTTCTAGCTATCCAGCTATCGCAGAATGCCTTCTTTAAATAATCGAGAAAGTCACCCAACTATGACTAGCCATCGAAGCGCTGGTTTCCAAGTTCCCGGCCCTTGAGGTCTATCTCATCCAAAAAATATTAAACTCACCAAGCCTAGTGCACTCATGCCGGTCATCACATGAAATATCGTGTGGAAGCACTTCAGATAGACGCCTAATACCTGGTCCAGCCTCGATATAGAGACTTGTAGTGATCCCAACGAGTCAATAAAGCTTATAGTATTAGAGCATCTTTCAGAGGCGCCAAGGCTCCCGTCAGCTAAAGTGTAGTATTAGTGATAGTCCTCGAGAAAACATTATTAAAAATTGACGAAGAGATAATAAGGCCGATAAGACCACCAAACATACGAATAGTTAGGAACTACCTAATAGCTAAGCCTATATTATTAACATTCTTAACGCTGGCTTACATCGGTAGAATATTGAGACGCAATAGCGTAACACCTTAACCCTAGAGAATAGGAAGCCCGTAACAAATGGATGCTAAAGACCCTACTTTAAAGAGGGCTAGTAAGCCGGATCCTAGCGTAAGGATGACACACGAAACTTAGGTTGATCCATCCGATCCACCTCTAGGAGGCATATATAGCGAATAGTGCCCCGACGGTAGGACCTATAATATTACCTATAGCCGAGGGAATGGCTATTAAGCCTAGATATTTAGAGCGTTCCTCTAGTATTGTCATATCTATAAGAATCACTATTACTAACACGTCGCCGTCTAACAATTATAGTGCCTATATTTTACGCCGTAGTAAAAACGATAGAACCGATAAAGAGCAATCCTATAGATATATAAAGAGGGGATTTGCGACCGAACTCGTTAGAGAGGCTGGCCTAAACTAGTTGTATTACCAGACCACAAAGAGTATAGGCCAGATTTGCCTAGAATGATTCTAGACTCGAGGCCTTTAGTTCACTAGCAATGGTCTAGTTATAGGGATGAGTATTTGGGTAGTACGCGGATGGGAATAGTTGCGGTGGCTCACTGGAAGGGCGGCAATACTCAGACATGTTGCATCCAACTGGAATACGAAAAGAGTCGCTGCGAGCCCTATGAACACGAGCTTGAAGGAAAGCGACTCTTTGGTCGTTGACTCGGCATCATCCTGCTCATTTTGCTCTGTTGGGGAGTGTGTATCCCTAGGCTCAGTTGCTTTTTCCACGCCCGCGGCTTTCTCTAAGTTTTGTTCCAACATTGGTCGGTCTGGAATGGTAGAGATCTGGGCAAGTGGGCTGGACGCCTCGGAATGGTCCATAGTGCGCCACCAACAGATTGACTCTGGGGCGAGAGCATGAAAGGCGTCGAGAGGCAGGAGATTTGACCGTGTGATTGGCAAAAGGCAATGGAGAAACTTGAACAAGAGCTACCTAGGTAGAAGTCGGGATTCCCCTTGTTTGGAGATTAGTTCTTCCGGCTGGTGCCTGGACTTCGCTTATTTGATTTATACGCGAGATTGGGGGAGACAGGGGTGCGCGTAAGCACTATAGATCCTTAATGCGCCCGAAATCCAGAGGTCTCCGATTGGATGCTAGCTAGAGCTAGTACAGCCGTACGTACTAAAGGATTGGACGTATTAGCTCCAGTACGGAATATGCGGCTACTCTCACACTAGTTCCACCTTGGCATGATCTATTGCAGCCTTTACAAATACCATTGTTGGGGACTTTTTTCTTTTTTTTTCTTTGGCTCTATTACGTCCATTTGCCTACCTTCCGGGGTAGCGACTTGACTTATTATTCTAGAATAAGTGGCCCTTATTTCATGGATTAGCTCTATCTTATTCTACGGCCATAGCTTAGTGACTATATTCATTTTACGAGACGATACCCTATCTCTCTTCTTGTTTGCACACTTACTGTGGTAGACTAAAAGTGAGACGAAATACCTAGGCGAATCACGAAAGACATAGATAAAACAATACTAAGGATACTAATTTATACAGGTAAGACGATATAAAGGAGTGCTCTTAAAGCATTTCTACCGGCTACGATGGAATCCGCGTCACGCCATGTCGAATCGGATCACCAGCAGATGCATGAAGCCTAAAGCAGCTTAGTGACGTTGCATCTTTTATCAGATCGTTTTGACTCATTATCAGATCTTCCTGACCTGATTCCTCTCCTTGAATACTCTTTCCTGTTGAATACACCAAGTGTCTCGACAGACACAATGCTTTCCAATACAAATAATGTTTCCCATGCAGATATCATCGCAACTGTCACTCCAGGTATTGAACTTGGTCAAATCCCGGATGCAAAAGCTAAACAAGATGATCTATTCCTGGTCGCCTTTGCCGAGCCCTTTGATGCAGAAAACCCCAAAGACTGGCCGACTGGCCGCAAATGGGCCGTGACAGATGTTCTATCTGCGACTGGCTTTAATCGCATCATGGTATCGACTATTATGGCTCCGGCCCTGTCAGTAATCGCCAAAGAATTTGACATGTCCTCAGCAGAGTCAGCCATGGCGCTCTCTATCTATCTCCTAGCCACTGCATTTGGCCCATTGGCCATCGGCCCGTTGTCGGAGGTGTATGGAAGGAAACCTATTCTACACGCCTCAAACATTTGGTTCTTGGCCTGGAATATTGCGTGTGGGTTTGCGAAGAGCAAGGAAATGCTTATTGCGTCTCGCTTCTTGGCTGGGTTTGGTGCCAGTTCTATCTATGCCTTGGCGAGTGGAGTACTTGGAGATGTTTGGAGGCCTGAGCAGCGCGGTCGCTCGCTGGGAGTGTACTTACTAATTCCTTTGCTGGGTGCAGCTGTGGGTATGAGCAATCCAGATCTTCACCTGGTCTTAGTCTGAGATGCTAACCCCGGGGTGCAGGTCCTATTATCGGCGGATTCATGGCTGGTCGCACCACGTGGCGATGGATGTTCTGGGCTACATCAATTTTCCAAGCCGTGATGGTCCTTGTCTCTTTCACTGCCTTCCATGAAACATACGAGCCACGCATACTTCGATCTCGAGCAGAGCGATTCCGACGGGAGACCGGAAACCAACAATACTATACTGAGGAGGAACGTCTTCGCTCGAACAATTCACCGTACTTCGTGCTCGGTCGGGCTCTCATGAGACCGCTGCGGCTTCTAGCTTTTCACCCAATAATCCAAATTGCCTCGGTGATTTCCGCTTTCTACTATGGCATTCTATACATCGTGCTCTCGACTTTCTCGGATCTATGGATGAAACAATACCGCCAATCTGTGGAAATTAGTGGCTTGCACTACGTCGCTTGCGCACTTGGTGAGATCGTGGGAAGCCAAATCGGGGCAAAGGCAATGGACCACTTACACCGCCGTCACAGTTCTCGTTCTAATGCCGAGCACGTGCCCGAGTCACGCATATACCTACTCTTCCCGGGTGCTCTAATTGGACCCCTTGGTCTTTTTCTGTACGGATGGGCAGCCCAGAACAGGCTGCACTGGGTTGTCGTTGATATTGGTATCTTCATCAGTATGCTTGGTATGCAAATGACAGGTCTGCCACTGCAGGCATATGTGATCGAGACGTACCCAGAGCACACGAGCAGTGCCGGTGCAGCCTCACAGTTCATGCGCAGTCTCACTGCATTCCTATTCCCGCTATTTGCGCCTAGGATGTACGAAATTCTTGGTTATGGATGGGGAAACAGCACAATTGCCTTCATTGGGTTGGCATTTGGACTTCCGGCTCCGTTGGCGCTCATTTACTTTGGGCCGACTCTCAGAGCTAAAGCTCGATCAAGCTTTTAAGATTGGGGATCTTTTAGGGTGTTGGCAATATGTGAATGAAGCGTTTCGATTTTTAATATACACACTCTATCTATATGGTCATGGGTTTGGCAGCAGCTATAACCAACTCTCTAACATGGAAACAACCAACAAAGCCATTTTCTTCAATCTAGCTTATGGCTTTTATGCGAATAGTTTGCTTTTACCTCGTAGCCAAGGTCCATAAGCCCTGAATACGATGGGAATGGGGATCATTATTGCGGCCAGAGAGCCAAGCAACGTGCCAGCCCATTGAATTCCCATGTTTTGGAACATCTGCCTTGAGAATAATGGGAACCCTGCGGCTACTGCTGATCGAAGAATGATATTGGCAGCCACAGCTGAAGCAGCACTAAGATCCAGGAACGTCAGCGTGGTGTCTTGATTTGTTCGAGTGGATAGGCCGAGGACTTACATTGGCAAGTATGCATCGACGATATAGTTGAAGCACGGAAGAAAGATGCATAACACCCCAAATCCGATGAATATCCCGGCCGCGGCAGGTACAGCCCAGTGAATCTGAGGTGTAAACCCGGTCCAGCCAAACCTGTGGACTTTCAGTTAGCTGACGTCATAAATAATTCTAATACATAAAGGATTTGACTCACCAAAAGAGACCTATTGTAAAAACAGGCGCCCCTAGGAGTGTTGGAGTCAGGCGCCACTCGGGCACTGGGGTGCCCTTGTTCTCTGCCAGTTTCCTTGCATAGGCCAACTGCCCGAAAAGAATGAAGGCACATGCAAGCACCACACCGATGATGAGGCCAATAAACATTAGACCAGCAAAGGCAGGAGACATTCCATATACATGCTCGAAGACGAAAGGATACGCCTCAAGAAGCGCATAGACAAGGCCGTAGATGAAAGACATGTAAACCGACACCACGAGGATAATAGGCTCAGTGAAGAGCAACTTCAATGGACGTGTGAAGTATTTCTCCACGAGATCTGCGATGCTGACCTCGATATCCTCGTGCCTGGCACGAATATTACAGTCTTGCGACTTTTTGCGGATAGCAACAGCCTTCGCCACGAGAATACAAGGCGAATATGTCTCATCCAAGAAGAGAACACTCATCAGCCCATTTGCCAGGCTGAAAATTGCTGGGATGTAGAGAGTCCACCGCCAGCCAAGATGACTCGACGCAATGAAGCCACCCACGAAAGGAGCCATAAACGGCCCCACGAAGACGGTCAGTGCATATAGCGAAATTGCAGCACCGCGGGTTGTGTTGCTGTACAGGTCGGCCAGTACACCGGGAACAACAGTCAGCTGGCTTGCGCCAAACATGCCGGCGAAGAAACGGCATATGACCAAGGTCTGGATATTTTTGGCCACTGCAGATGCAATAGTGAAGATTCCACCGCCTAACATCCCAATTGTCAGAGGCCATTTCCTTCCCCGTAGTTCTGACGCAGGTGCCCAGATTACGGGGCCTGAGGCAAAGCCAAGGACATAGAGGGTCGTTCCCAGTGTTCCGACCACTGTTCCGACCCCAAATTCTTGGCTTGCTTTGTCGATTCCCGGTGCGAAAATGGCGCTTGTTAGCGAGACGATAAGGGTCCCTGAGCAGACTAAGATAGAGTTGAAAAGCCTGTGTAGAAATTGCGGTCAGTTCGCCTTCGGGATAGCCAGCTCATTGGCTAATTTAGACTTGTGGCTTACTTCTTAGATAGTCTCCAATTCTGAGGATGCTCGGGATCATCAGCCCCTTTGAAATCAACGTAGCTTGCTGGGTTGGAAAGAGGTACCGAAAGTGCCCTGTTCGCTCCAATTGGCAGCTTCTCGTGCATTTTGAACTTGATGGAGCAGGGAGTAGCACACACGTTTTTTCATGCAATTGATGGTTTCCATGTCCTTTTTCACAAACAGCTTTCCGGAACTTTTCGTGGACTCGCAATGTATAGAAGCGGGTATTGCGGAACGGAGAATTTTACCGGCCAGGCACAGAAAGATGCCCGCAATTTCCGCGCAGCTTTGTAACAGGATGGTCCTACCGGCCCGGGGGCTTCGGATGAGAAGTCGAAAACGAAAGGTAAATTACAAGGGCTAAAATAATTCATGACAACATTCATAAGACTGGATACCTCTCAAAAACATAAGCGTCTCTATGGCCCTCATGCAGCTCCACCTAAGAAATTTGAACTATCAATCATATCCGAATTCAGAAATTGATCAAGGTCATCCCTCTGCAAACCGGGTAGATCAGCGACCAAAGCCCCTAGCCATGAGTACTCTTCCGCGCTCGGAAATTCCTGCGCGGACGGTCCAGGTGGACCTTCTTGCTCCTCCATGTTCATGATGTTATTGAAGATGGCAAGGTCATCCTTCCTCCGCTGTTGATGAAGCATAACTAGTAAGAGAGCCGCACTCCAGGCTTCTCTTATGGTGTTTGTATCATAAATGGACGCGACAAACTTCAATGTCTGCATTGCTTCGGGGAGCATCGCTAGCGATTGACGTGTGTCCATCACAAGCAAGACACATATGGTGTGAAAAGGTACGTTTGCCATGTGCTGCCAGGGATTGCAGGTGCTGGCCATAGTGCGTGAGCAACCAAGTCCCTTTTTCAGCAACGCTAGGGCTTTTTCTGCGAGGCGAGGGGAGATTTCAAGTTTCTCTGTGTGGATTCTCCGCAGAATGCAAAGAACAAGATTGCATTGCGCCATGGCTGAGGGAGGCTCATTGTGGACTCTTTCTAGGATCTGCGAAAGCGTTTCTTCCAGCTTAATCTCATCTTCCTTTGGCTTTCCTGGGTCTAGGCTCGCCGACAATGGAATGAGTTCCAGCAGCTCGTGCGTGAAATCACCGTCGATAGTTGATGGAAGTAATGGCAAATCATTCTTCTGAAAGGACACTCTTGACAAACCAAGATCATAAGATGTCCACATATTAAGATGTAGTGCCACGCCGAAGAGTCGTCTTTGAATATTTGGATCAAACTCTGTGTCAACACTGCGCGGAAAGACTGAATCATTTGACTCTAGATGGAATCCCGCAGCTTCCACCAGATGCATCAACTTCGAGCTCGCGATCCATGTTGAGTGAGGCAGGTCTGTCATTCGCATGTAGATGACCCGTAATGTCCATCCAATGAGAAGGTCCACAGGAGGAGCGCCACTCAGAACGTGCGAATCGAGAATAGAAAGTGCCGATCCGAGGAGATGTAATTCGGTGATGGTCATGTTTCGTTGGGAAAACAGACAACCTAGTGCAGCGACGCCACCAAGAACACTGTCATATAGACCACTAACCATGGGAGGCTGCCACCTAGCCTCCAGTCGCTTAAAAAATTGAGAAGAATCAATAAAACCATAGCATGGACCAATCTTGGCGAAGTAGATCTGAGCGAGGGCCCTCATGTGTTCTAAGGATGTGATATCCGTGATTAACAGTACAGGGTAAACAGGCTGAGATTCGGATGACAGTTGCCGCTTTCCAATATTCCAACCAAATAGGCTGAGTTTTGGCGCTTTCGCAGGATCGATATTCAGGCCCATCCTCCGAACAAATGCAGCGCCGGAGTTTGCCCACAACCGACGATCCAGCCCATGTGTATCCACTGAATTGATCTGCTGTGGAGACCCTGACGTCGGTGTAATTCCTCTTCGGGGCTGTTGGGGAGCATGGTGCCTCTGTCGTGGCTGACGTTCGTAGTAGCAGTCATAGCCCCATTGACTGCAAGTGGTGCAAGGCTCGGCGCCATCGCATTTTCGTTTACGCTCCCGGCATGGCTCACATGCAACACGGGAACGCTTCCGCTTGAATTCGGATTGTGCCATATCTTCGGACAATATGCAGGGTGAGATCCCGCAATTTCCGAGTGGGAATGAGGGATAGGCAGGGTATTGCGGAGGAGATGAGTGGGGAGACCTCTCCTACCCGTGGGTATTGCGGCTGCAGGACGCAGTTCACCTGACCTGACCGAGGTCCCTATTAAACCACGTGACATTTCCCTATCTTATCTACCCCGATCAGCTCCCGAGGTCAGTGGACCGCCTGGGCATGTCATTCTGTAACACGTTTGAAAGAAAATTGCTGTCACCCCGTGCAACCTGCTCTGCCATTACCTTTCTATTATAAATCACCGGAATCAGCTTCGAGTTCTGCCATATTATGTGGCGGGCATTCCATCGTTTTAGGAGTTGGTGAAGGAGGCTCTGGTACGTAGTTCTCCGATACATAGTGAACAACCTCCACAAATTCAACATGCAGCGATTCATACCCGATCATCCCAAGATCCTCCAGCTGGCCAAAGAAATATAACATGATGTCCCAAGGTGGCCTCCCGCGTGGATTATACCTCATCTTTTCTTTATAGACTCGTTCTCCTTCCTCGTTGACGAACTTGATGAAGTAAACAAACCGCCTTGCAGTTTGTCCCTGGTACTCACAAGTGTCCTCTTTCCACATTATAGGAATTTGGTCCTTGAGCGCCGCTGAGGGATATTCAGCTGGGTTTTCACCATCAATGTGCCAGCAAGGTAACCCTCTAAACTTTTCAATAGAGGAGATAGTCCCCTGATCCAAGTCTACATGGAAGTAGATTGTCAGGACCTCATAAAGCATTTGTGGAGGAGAGATCGGGTGGGCGGCTATGATGTGCCCCCTATCAGGGAGCAGGCAGGCAACTTCTTGGCTCCATGAGCGAGTCGCAAGAGCTTCATTTAATCTGAGGCAAAGTTCCGACGTACGAAACTCTTCCCTGTCTCTGCTGCTTCTCCACTCTAGTAGTTGGTTAATGTTTGGACTTTCAGAAGACGGTATAGCAAGCATCTTTTTACATCGAGAGGGTAAGACTGCTTACCGATAATCAACCACTCAATATCCCTTAGCTCATGCGGACGGCCTCGGGCGATACCGGTGCATTCTTGGAGTTTTTGTATCTCTTGGAGGGTGGCAAAAAGTTCGTCGCTATTGGGGAGGACACCATTGGGTGGATCTTTGTGCGATATCCATTCTAGAAGTCTGCGGCTCTGAGGTGGCATTTTCGCTGGATATGGATCTTTGGCGTTTGTTTTCGTGGTAGTGTTGTTGACAGCATGCAAGTCATTCTGTTTCTTTGATGCGCGTTTCGTTGTAGTCTTCTCAGGATTCTTTGCACTGGCACGTCCGGCCGATCGAGTAGTAACAGGCATAGTGTGGTGGGCCAAAAAGGCGGTGCCAAACAAAAAATAAGAAGGTGAGGAATACAGTAAAATTCGAAAACAGATTACCCCCCAGACACACACGCTTTATTTCCACCTGACCCACTCATATTGCGCTAGATTGAATTAGGTCGAAGGTTCCGACCCATTCATGGGTTATGTCAAAGCCTAATGCAAGCAATGAAAATGAGGGTATAACGGGTAAGCAGGACGTATGAAGCACGGGCACTAGGGTTAGGGAGTCAGCTACTAGGGTAATACAGGATCGATAATTATTTCTTAGGATAACTTCCTATATTCTATGCCTAATAGTCCGACGCCCAGTATAGTGTGGTGGAGCCCCCTGCCAAGACCCAGTAGAAGTCCCGTTTACCAGCCGCATACTGACCTCTTGGATGTCGACCTAGACCCTCCTGTGTTGTAAAAAAGATAATATCGTTTCCTAGCACATCTCCTTACCTCTTTCGTCTTTTATTTTATTTTTGGGTAGAGACTTGAATTCTTGTCAATGAAGAGCTTTTACGTATCTTACCAAATACGCGGTCTTTTAAGACATTGGATATTGTTGTAAATCAAAAAAGAAGCTTTTTTTCGTTCTTACTTCTGAGGGGATACAAGAGGTTGTATATACAACATGAAGTCCAAGTTGATTTCCAATCAATTTAGTCTTCGTATAGATAGTGCAGGGATTATTTGCGATGTTGCGGCTTCGTTCCTAAGCAGCAACTGCCTCATATCACAACAGTTCCTCGTTCCAGGGCATGGGCTTTTGGCAGTCCGTCGGATCGCCATGGCAACCATGAAATTTACTGTGCAGTCCCGTGAAGTAGTTTCCCCTTCCTCTCACTACGTTCGTTTCAGGGCACAGCGTTTGGGACCGACGCGCAGGCCAGGGTTGTAAACCCTTTCACTCCGTTCCTTCGTTTCAGGGCATAGAGTGCTTTTCGTCCTATTCCATTACGACCTCCAGCCAGGCATGAGATCCATTATAAATGCCCCGTCTCAAATGTCAGGCCTTCGCCTGTCACACGACTTCAAGACAAGGATGCAACGCTGAAAACACTCCAGAAACAACCATCCAACTCTGCTTCATTCCCTGATGAGTGATGATCTTATCTCTGTTCTTCACACTTGATCGGCTTATCAATTCCGCACAAAAGAAAGCAACCCCGGAAAGCTGGATGTCCCGAAAACCACAGTACTTTCTCATTCAATCACCAACATCCTTCCATTCCAATGTCCAAGCCAAAGTCCTAATAGAGACTGAAAGGCCAAGCTGGCACAGCATTGAGGTTCGCAGTGCTATACGATCGTGGTCGGCCAAAGATCTCCCAGTTAGAGCCTAGAGCCTTCACGTCGATGTGGAATACAAAAGCTAGCTGGATCGGGATGATGCCGTAGAGCAGTCGCTTGTATGGGTAGTTGACAAGAAACGAGAGGAAACCACTGCTGTTATTGAACTAACTCGTCATCTTTGTAGCTCTTGGACCGTCTGCCATCATGAAGCATCCCAGAACCTACAGATTAACTGTGATGGCACCAAAACGGATCCACCAAGGCGAAGCTGAAAGTTCGAGATTGTGATAGACAATAGGAATGTTTCTCGGTTGAAAGCGCTGATTTCCGACGTGACACGGGCAGCGCCCGAGGTCGAGCATTCTGTTAGGGTTGCTGGGCGCACCAAGTGGTTCTGCAAAAAAAGATGATGTTACAGGTTGATAGTGATCGGAGTCGAATCGGGAAACCTTCAGAGAGTGTTCTCTTTTGCACTGCTAGTGAATCAACTTCTGTTTTGGCTGGACCAATCTTGCTAATCGTGGCTGCTAGTGTGTCTGCATAATCACGGGCGCGCATTGTTTTCACCCGGGCTTCGAGAGACTTGATACTGAACCCGAGCCAATGATTTTGTTCAAGTTGCTTTCGGCCTTCGGCCCGCTACCGGACGGGCTCGTAGAGCATGTCAACGACGAGGAAGCGGTAGCGGGTTTTAGGGCTTGCGGCATGCCATAGCAGAAGACGAATCAAACGAAACTTTTGAACAATAGTCTGAGGAGATGTTTCCAATATCTTTGACAACGAGGCAAAGAGGTTGATATTGAGAATGACAGATCTCGATACAGCGAGAAGAGCATTAACGCCGGATAATAAATGGATCCTTATTGGAACCTGAGTTGAGGAGTTTCTCAAACAGTGTTGATAGGTTCGTAAACGTGCGAATCAACGACCCAGATTCGTTGACGGATGTATAGTATTAGCGCGGACCAGGAATGTATCGAATAGAACTTGCTTGTCTTTGACAACTGTCGTCCACAGCAACAGCAGCTTCCCTGTGGATCCATTTGAGGTTCCCCATAGCTTGTCAAACATCAGTGAAAAGGAGCATTCGTTTTTGCCCGAAGCTCTGTCTTGGTTTTTCCAACCTCTCGCCACATATGATGTCTCACTAGTTGGTAGAGCGCATTGGGGCAAGGTAACGGAATTTCAGGATATTCACAACATAAATTTCTGATGTTAGCATTGCGATCAGAGTCATATTCGAGAGATACCATGGCGTATTGATGAGAAGTCCAACAAGCGAGGCAAGCAGCATCTCGGAGTAATAAGTTCCCATGGCGGCACACTGCGTTCAGCAAGGATTTGGTAGACGTTCTTGCGTAATACTATCTCTCCACCAATCTCTTGCCACATCCAGCAATGGGTCCGCATTCTCTCCGTCGCTGTCCTGCAGAGATAAATGGGGGCCAAAGTCCCAATTCCACCATTGTTCTCGCGTCCTTCCCACGTAAAAGGTAGGTTCTACCTTTTTTTTTTTTTTTTTTTTTTTTTTTTTTTTTTTTTTTTTTTTTTTTTTTTTTT